CTCTCTCTCCCTCTCCCTTCCTCTCTCTAAAATAAATAAAGATATATTAAAAAAAAAAAAACCGCAAAAAACAACAACAAAAAACCCAGTCGATGAATACACTTTTATTGCCATTGGGGAAATACCAGTAGGAAAAAAGGACTGACTCTTTTTCTCATGTATAAGCTACATGTTCTCATGGAGCTTATAGTCTAGTAGGGGGAGAGAACAATAAATAAGTAATGTATAACATGTAATATGGTCATAAATGCTGTGGAATAAAAGAAAAACATAGGAGAGACTAGGGATAGGGAAGGCCAGAGGCAGGTTGTAATTTTAAATAGGGGTAGTCAGGAAGGCCTGAGTAAGTACCGTTTCAGCAAGCCTAATGGAGGAGAGAGACCCATGCTATGCAGAAGTCCAGAGGCAAGAGTATGTCTGGTGTGACAGAGGAACTACAGGGAAGCCATAAAAGCTTGCTTGTGTGGTATAGAAAGGGAGAGAGCAGTCAGAGATGTGATCAGGGGTAATGAGAGCTTGCCCTGGCTGGTGTCGCTTGAGCTAGTTTGTATTCTGCCTTGTACGCAGTTATAAAGACTTTCGTTTTTACTCTGAGATTGGAAGCTGTTGGAAAGTTTTGAGCAGGTGAGTGATATGATCCCTCTGGCCGCTAGACTGACAATAGACTATAGGAAGGCCAGGGGAGAAACAGGGAGGCCGCTTTCTGTGATGTTGCAACATCACAGAAACGAGCAGCTTGGGCTGAGGTGGTAGCAGTAGAGGTGGTGAGAAGTGGTCAGATTTCTAGTCTGAAGTCAGAGAAAGTATTTTAAAGGTAGAGCTGACAGAATTTTTGAAGTGGGTATGATATGGTAATCAAAATAGATCACTGTTTTGTTGAGATGAGGAAGATTGTGGCAGGAGCAGGTTTTATGAGGGAAGACTAGGATTTTGATATTGTACATTTTTTAGATCGCTCTTATAATCCCAGTAGAGATATTAAGTAGACACGTTGATAATGAGCCTAGGGTTCAGGGAAGAGGTCCAAGCTGGGGATTTCAATTTGGAAATGATTGATATATAGTCTGTAAAGCTAAGCATTGGATGAGGTCGCTTATAGAGTAAGTTTTGGTGAGAAGAGAAGCTTGAGGACAAGGCCTCTTGAGTAACCAAGAAAGGAGACTACAAAAGGAATGCCGGTGAGGTAAGCGAAAACTAAGGAAGTGTGGTGCCCTGGAAATCAAGCAACAGCATTTTAAGGAAGAAGACATGATCAACAGCTCAGGTGCTGTTAATGGGTCAAGTAAGGTAGGCCTGGGAATCAGCTGTTGGATTTAGCAAGAGGGAGGCCACTGGTGACCTTGAAGAGTAGTTTTGGTGTAGTGGTAGAGGCAGAGGCCTGACTGGAGATGATTCAAGAGAAGATGTGAAAAATGGAATTGCAGACTGCGAGTATCACTGTTTATGAGAAGCAAAAAAATGGGGATGTTAGCTGGAGGGGGCTGTGGGATCAGAGAGATTTTGATAACATGGGAGAAATGTCAGCATATTTGTAATGCTGACAGGAATGTTCTGGAGCGAGGGAGAATTGATGATGATGCCTGAGTGTCACTTGTGTTTCAGTACCCAGGAAAAATGGGGTCCCATAGAGGAGCTGGCCTCAGATCATCTGTAATAACAGAAGAGAAGGCAGATTAAATAGGCCCCAGTGGAAGTGGCTGGGTAGACATGGTGAGAGCTTGTGGTAGTTCTCTTCTGATGTTTCTCATTTTTCTGTGAAGTTTTAACTAATGACATTAGCTGGAAGTGAGAATGGGGAGGAGGTGCTGGTTGATGATGGAGAGAGGAGAGAGGGTCTGCAGTGTCTGCTAGGAGAACGAAACACTGAACAGACTAGAGAAAGGTAGGAATGCGGACCAGCTCTAAGGGCCTACTTAAAGTTTGTAGTCATAAATTTAAAGTGGAACCAATTAGCATGGTTGTTCACCAGCCATTTGCCCTGGAGTGGATACATGTAGGGAGAAAACCAAGAGTTGGTTTTTCCAGGCAAATACAACAAATCAAGTATGAAGCAAGGGAGTTGATGGTACACAGTGTAATAATGGACCATGTAGTCAAGCTGCCTAAAAAGGGAGAGGAAGGCACAGAGGCAGTGAGGGACAGAAGAAAAGGTTGTAGGGTCCATGAATTGTAGGTCCCCGTGGAATCAAAGAATTGTTGGAGGACCTACAGGAGGAAAGTTGGAAAGCTAGTTTGGTACCAGAAAGTGGGGTCCTCAAAGTTGAAATTGTGGAGAGATTGTATTTATTGTTAATGCCAAGGTCTCTTGGTATCACCGTGGGGGGTAGAGTTATTGGGGGAGAGAATTTCAAGAAACTGAAAGTCCAGGAGACTGGAAGAAAACTCATCAAGGATTATGACGAGTACTGTTAGCATGATAGTGAGCTACAGTCTTTAAGGAATGAGGGTAGGTGAACTAGGAAGCCACAGGTGAATGCAACAAGGGGAACTGGTGGATGATATAGTCAGATGATATGAGAACCAAAGCTAGAGGTTTTTAGGAGGAGGAAGGGAGAATGTTCTAGAAGCAGCAATGTAGATCAAGGAGTAAACTCACCTTATCTGTAGGGCAAATTTTATGAGAGGTTTGGAAGATTAAATGGCCATCATTTGAGAGAGCTGCCTGGAGGCAGTGCTTGATAAGGAATTTATTGACAAACATAAATTAATATAGTACAAATTAAGTTGGGGGGTTCCCTGGAAATCACAAAATAAAGTATATCTGTTTAACATGGTCAACCAAGGAATTCTAGTTCCTAGGCTTAGGTTTTGAAGAAAGCAGAGTGTCATAGATTTTTTTTTTTGTAGACTACAGTTGAATCGAAGAGAATGTGCAGTGTCTAAGGTAAGAGGGAACTCTTCATCTGTGGCAGGTGGCAAGTAAATTAGCCTGATTGGAGAAGAGCAGGTGCCAGAAATAGTTTTCAAAAAAGGGTTTTTGAATGAGGAAGGCACATTAGAAACATCACGTTTAGAATTTGCAATCTGAGTGAGCCATTATAGATGCATAACAATAATGCTGAGATAAATTATTCTGGGCCCTTTCTTAGAGATTTAGATGATTCCAACAGAAATTTCTTTGACAACATGAATTTATTTTAGTTTTAGCTTTTTGTTCTATGTTTCTAAATAGGACATTTTATTATTTAGGCCTAATTTTTTAATCACTATTGATGTAATTTTGGGACAGCAAAAGGATTTTAACAATTTTTCACCATAAGTTTCTCTCATTTTAAATCTAGATTTTACTTTGCTAGCAATGGACATGCCCAGCACAGCTCCATCAGATCTGCAGCCTCAACCAGTTAAAGCAATGATACAACTTTTTGGTTGGGATGATATCGTCTGCCCTAAAGTTGTAGCACGATATTTAAGTCATTTCCTCCAAAATAGGTAAGTGATTTTCTTTCAGATATGCACATCAATGTAAACTCATGCTAGATTAGTACATCAGGAAAGTAAAAATTTTCAGTTAAAACCTGATCTTTACTACAAGTACTTTCATTTTGGCAGTTCCTTGCTTTTAGATTTATCAGCATTTTGACAGTAGTAGTAGTAGGAAAGCTAACTTATGTTTCATGGCCTGCTTAAAAAAAAAATGTTACTGTCCTGGCCAGTGTGGCTCAGTCGGTTGGAGCATCTTCCCATGCACCAAGGTTCTATTCCCAGTCAGGGCAGGGCACATGCCTGGGTTGTTGATTCAGTCCCCAGTAGGGGGCCTGCAGGAGTTAGCTGATCAATGACTCTCATCATTGATGTTTCCCTCTCCCCCTCTCCTTTCCTCTCTCTGAAATCAATTTTAAAAAAACAACAACAAAAAAACACATTCAAAAACAATTTAAAAAAATAAAATATCCTATTGTGTGTATCTGTAGTGTTCATTTCCAGCAGTGCATGTCTGCATTAGTTGTGTTTGTCTGTGAGGCCAACAAGTGGGGTATGTTAGAATGTTTTTCTTCATTCCTTAATCTCTTATACTTGGAACTTATTGCCAGGTTTTATTTTTGTTTTTAATATCTATCAATTTATCTTTGCAGCATGTTATGTGAAGCACTTTCTAATTCAGGCTGTGTATCTTTTCAAACCTTAACTATAAGATCATGGATCCGTTGCATTTTGCAAATGTATATAAAAAGCCTCAGTTTACCTGATGATTTATTAGTTGATATAAATCCGGAAAAAGCAGTTGGTAAGTATTGCAGGCGTTTTGCTTTCTAGGTAAGCTAAGTATGTTTAAAATTTAACGTTTCATAAATTAAAAGATAAAAAATATTTGTAATTAGCTATGAATATAAACAAATTTATTTCCTTTTGAAGCCTATTTCTTCTTCTTGATATTTTCTTGTTACTATATATGATAAAAAAAATTTCTATAAAGATAAAAGAACTTGTTTCCTTAGAAGCCAGGAAAAAAAATGCTCTCAGATGACAACCATTTTTTTACCTTGAAGAAACTGATCACACAAAAAAGTGGAAATATGAAGTAAATAACCAGATATCACACTGTGAGAACCCTAAAAAGAAACATATCCAATTATGAATAATTCTCTCCCATTTTATTACTTTGCTTTTCTTTTGCTTTACACTTAGTCACTGAGTGATACTTGTACTTTTTTTTTTTAATATGCCCATACAGTTCTGGTTGCCTGTAGGGCATGCCTTTTCCTAACACTATTCTTTCTCTTTTTTAATTTATCTTTATTGTTGAAAATATTACAGATGTCCCTTTTTTCCCCATTATCCTAAAACTATTTTTTATGGCTGTTTATAAATTGCACAAAGGCTGGGCTGAAAAATGCTCCAGATTTGTTTTGATATTATTACATCAGTTGCCTTTATATAAATAACTTCTAGGGCTGTGTTGTTCAATCAAGTATATGTGTTTGTTTTCAAATAAAATCTTTCCTTAGTGAGAAAAACTTAATTCGAAGTTTTTAATTATGTGGAAATTTGAATTTTACAGGGAAGTATGTCATAAATGAAGAATGCTACATTCCCTGGTTTCTTATTCATATATATAAAAAATATAAATTTATATAATAAACATTATATAAACATTGTTACTTTATTTTAACAGAAAAAGAGTACATGGAACAGTTGGCCGAACTGACAAGGTTGCTGTTTAAGCTCCCAGAAGTAAAGAATATTTTCTCAGAGGCTCAAGCTGAATATCTGCCCATCCCAGAAGACCCTAAAAAAGCACTTGCCCAATTCCTTGAGGTATTTTTCACTTACTAGTCTAATTGTCCAGATCAGAGACAAGCATATTTCCAAAAACCTTGAAGTGTTCGTAACGTTTTTCTGTAAAAGGAAATCTTTTCCATTGAATTTTATTATTGGGTACCTGATGTTATGAAATTCTGGAGGAATAAAAATATGAATCTAAGGTATAGTACAATTTACTCTTAAAGACAGAAGAATTACATTTAATGAAAAATAAGAGTAAAGAATGCTACATATATAAGCCTTACACTAAAGATAATCTAAATTGTAGGAATATCTTATTGTAGAAATTGCTGGATAACAATATTCTTCAGGTACTTGGGAACTAGATTTCCTTGTATATGGTCCATAATACTTCCAACTGATTGTTTACCATCCTGTAATAAATAGTGTAAATTTTACAGTAAAAATTTAATCTCTTCAGCATAAGTATCAACTACTTCATATGGTAGTGTGATTGAGGCTTTACAATTCAATCCATTTGTTTTGTCTCCATAATAAATAGTCCCATTCAATATTTTATTTTCAGTTATTGATTTTGTAGGAATCTATTTTATGTGATAGTTTTTGCTTTATAGCCTAGTTGAGGTTATTAATGTTTGGATTTGTGTTTTTCTGAGCTATTCACAGTAAAAGTTGGTTTATTTTCCCACGAAGTGGTTGGTATTTACTGCAATGCAAATAATTATAACCCATAAGCTGTTCTTATAAATGTGAAATCTTCCATTGGTTTTCATTAAGTTAAAGTAGTTATAGAACAATTCGAGATTCCATAAATAAGTCCTAAAAATACTTAGTACTAGTACATGCAAATATAAAATACACCTGTCTGTTCAGTCTTTTATTTAGTTGTTGATTGGATCTCAACCTGTGATTAATTAAATACCTGTGCTAGGAACAGTTCTGGACCAGAAAGGGAGGTAGAAGTCATGCATTTCATGATCGTTTTGAAAAGCTCTTTTAATTTAATCCAGTCCACATTAATTATCCTTTCGGCAACCAGTAAATAATAGTTGTGTGGTAAATGCTAGATAGTACGTATTATGTTAGGGTTTCTTAGGGATTTGAAGAACCAAAATAAGTAGTCCTTGATCTTACAGAACTTTTACTTGTCTGAGAATACAGAATATACTCAAAGGTTAAAATAATAATATAAGACAGTATAGGCTAAGTTCCAATTAGTTGATAGATCAGTCAGTAGATTAAGAATTCAGAGCATCTTGGTATAAGAAGTTTGAATTTTATCCTTTGAACAGTATGAAGGCTTTATAAATTTTTAAATCTGATTTGATTAAATGAGTTTTCAGGAAAATTAATAACAATAGATAAAGGGAGCATCTGAAAACTCTTTGACTTTTACCACCTGTCCCTCCAGCTCTCTGAGTGACGTCATCATGACCTTCCACTACCTCTCTAAGTGCAACATCCTCTCAAGGTCTCACTTCATTCCCTCTCCACCTGAATTATACCCCTGGGGTCCTCACTTCAACTACCCTTACCAACACCCTCACAATCTTTCGTCCTTTGTCTTTCGGTGACACCTGCAAATCCTCAAACTTGGCTTGGTGCAACCAATTACTTTATCTCCTTTGTCTTATCTGCTGAGAGCTGCAGTAGAAAAATCACCTAACTGTATATATTGGTGCCATTGTGTCCAGTTCAGGTCACTGAAATACACCATAAGTTCCCAATAATGGTTTGAAAACTTCAGTGCTCTTCTCAGACCTTCTAACCCATCCCTAGCTAGTCTTCTCTCGATTCTTTTTGTGACTTTTCACCTCTTGCTTATTTTCACCCTTCCTCAACTTATTCTTTCATTTATTTTCTTTCCTTTTCCCACTTCACTGTTCTCCTTAACACCTCATCTTAAATTTCTCTCCACCACCTCTTATTTTTCCATCTCTATTCTTTGTGCCTCATCCATTTTTCCTCCAAGAAATCTAAGCTGGCATCTAATGCTGATAAAGAAAATCCTGGGAGAACAAATCAATTCATATCTCAAAGCTGAACTTTATAGAGGTCTTACTTGTAAGAATTTGGTAACCTCACTTTAGGTCTTCATTGTATGAATTTGGGGATTTTGAATTCCCAGTTTTATACTAGGATGTTTGGAAGTCTCTATGTGATTTGATTATAAGCTTCTTTTACTTCTTGTTACTCATATCTTGCCAAGTCACACCTTGTGTGAATAATTATCGATGAATTTTTTTATTCTTCTTTTAACCTTTATTTTAATTATAAAAAGAAAGACAATTCTTTTCAGTTGCATTTTAATTGCTGTGAACATTTATTGAAAAGTTAAGGATGAAAACTTAAATGTAAGGTGTATGCGTAGAGAAAGAAATTATCTTTATTTTTCAAAGTCTGTATTGTATAAAACTTGGAAAGCTAAATCATATTTTCCCTTATTTATAGGCTATTGGTATAACTTACAGGAATCTGCAGAATTTTTCTGATAAATCTGCCATGGCTACAAAGTCCTTAGAATACCTTGGTGAAATATTAAAATATATAAAACCTTATTTGGGAAAAAAAATTTCCAGTGCAGGGCTGCAACTGACATATAGGATGATGGGTATGTATTTCTAACATTATTAAAACTTTGTGAGGTTGAGTCTACAGTGTCATGATGGATAGGAATATACTAATGTAGTAGCTAAATCACTATTCACCATCCAATCATAAGAATAATCTGAAAGACAAAATAATTCATGTTGGCTTTCAAGTGTTTCTCTGTCTTGCCCCGCCTCTCTTTAGAACCTTGCTTGTTATGCTTGTGTTAATATTAAAATTAATGATGATCAATACAAAAAATATGCCACCACCAATCAGTAGTCTGTTGTGAATCCCATTGTGAATACCTGGACAATTAAAGTGGACGTTCCTTTTAGTGCTTATCTATGCTTCATTAGGATTTGAAGTATCAGAAAACCATCACTCCCTTTTATTTTTATGGTTTGCTCTGTATGAAGGAGGTCAGGAAAGAATTTATTGCAGCATTGAAAATATTTATGCTTCAAATCCTGTTTCTCCCAACACAACGTTTTCTTCTTTCAGAAAGAAATCATTTTCTATGCCTGTTCTGTAACAACAGAGCTCGTCCTTCTTTAGGAAGTCACTGATTTGAATACCTTTGTTCGCTAAAGTCATGTTGCTAACCAAAAATAGGAACTGGATAAAGGGAAATAAGAAGGATTGCCTTAGAAGTTTTTATACAGAATTTAAGGGGTTTTTTTCTTTATTATTTCTCTATGGCCAAAACCTTATATCTGTTCCCTTTGATCTTGTAAACATATGAATAAACCTGATTTGGGCTGTCTCAAACCTTTTATGTTTGTTGTAAAAGATAAAGGAGAGTTTGAAAATGTGTAAATATGGATGATTCAGAATGTAGTGAAAGCTATCGTAGCAATTCAGGCATCTTAATTTCAGAGAAAAATATAAGTGAAAATTCATCATAAATTTAACATAGTAAAATGTAGATTGATAAGTATTTCATCACTTAGGCTTATAATTTATTAGTCTGCCAAGTTAAATGTATGATTTCAGGGTATATATTTTATAGACTATAGATAGTCTTATCAGGAACTGCAAAATCATTTTTGGATTGTTGATCTGTAGACTCATGGCAGAAGTCTCCTTATGAAGAACTAGGGTCTTGTGTGTTTTGTTATGTGATCGTTTTTTATTTATTGGCAGGTAGATCTGTATTCTTTCCTTTTGTCCAGATCTCAGAGACTGGGAATAGAGTATACTGCTACAGTGTCTCCCTTTTAATTTATTAGATGTTAGGAACAGATAATTTACTGTCTTGGGTACTTAAAATGTTTAGAACAAAATGGAGAAAGAGCCAGTATAAACTTTTGAGAGTTCAAACCTGTTTTAAGTATGCAGGGCTAGCATGTCATATCCACAGGGAAGAGAATGAATCACTGAAATTTTGTGCTTTACCTTGGCAGTTCCTAACTGGGAATACCACTGCCGTTTACCGGCAAGGTGCAAACTTTTGATGAAATCACACTTCAGATTAAAGCCTCTGGGGTGTTAATTGTAACTCAGTGATTTCTGAGAAAGGAGAATTGATCCAACAGTAATATCTTCAACTTTCTTCTTTATATATCTTGTTTTTGTGTTTTGTTTTTCACATTCTTTATATATATATTTTTTTATTTTTTATTTTTTTAAATATATCTTTATTGATTTCAGAGAGAGGAAAAGAGAGGGAGAGAGAGAGACAGAAACATCAATGAGGAGAGAGTCATTGATCAAGCCCGCAACCGGGCATGTGCCCTGACAGGGAATCGAAGCCTGATCGCCTGGATCCTAGGCCGACGCTCAACCGCTGAGTCACGCCCAGCCGGGCTATATATTTTAATTTTTTGTTTCCATGCCTTTCCTTCTGATCATCCTCTCGTTGGTCATTCTTCCCCTTTTGTCTTTGTAATTGAAATTCTACCCGTGTCCCTTCGGTACCCAGCCCAAGTGTTCCACCTTTCCTGCACTCCCAAGTAGACCTGGTCTCCCTTCATCTGTCCTCCTCATGACATTTTTTGTAGCTTGCCATTTATTATAATTATTTATGTATTTAGCATGCCCCTACTGAATTTTAAACTTACTCATGGTATTGAGTATATTTTTGAACTTTTTATTCCCATTGTCATATTGTATTTTGCACAAATAAGAGCAATTTGCTTTGTGTGTATCAGGCACTGGATTGGGAACTGGGGATGGCATATGTACTATTTCTGGAATTTAATTTTATAAACCTAGCTAATAGTACATAATGTATTTTTTAATGTTCCTAAATGAGCAAAGTTACTTTCTAACTATACATTTTAAAAATGTATTTTAATGATCCCATTTTACTTTTTTTAAGACATAATACATTCACAGAGTAGGAAATAAGTAAATACATAAGGACTCTTGCAGTGCAGCTCTCTTTCAGTTGTGGGAGTATGTTCCCTACAACTTTTCTGTATTTTCAGCTTCATCAGGAAATAAGTAATATTTTTATAAGCCAAGAAAATGATGAGGTTTTTTTTACAAAGCTACACTATGTATTTAAACTTTCCCAAAAGTGTTTTACTTAAAAAATGTGTTCTTTTACAGTTTTACTATCACACACATTGAAATGTTCTTCGCTGAAACTTAAAAAATGTAGGAGTCTGTTGCAGCAGTAAAACAAATGTATCACCTCTGCCTTCAGTGAACTCATAAAACTTAAGGTCTTCAGAAAGCATTTTAACCATTGCAGAAGATGAAATAGAAGGGCCGATGATGCATTTTTGGTTGGAAGGTTCTTGCTCTTTATAAGTTAATACCTGGGTGACACCTAAGAGTGATATGAATCATTTGGAATGTCGTTGATGATGGCAGTTCCTCTTACGGGTATATTAATGTTCGTTAGAATGTGAATTCTTCTTACATTGCTTGTCATTCTCAAGTTTTCCACCTACTGGAAAAATGAGGAGCAAGCCAGCATTATTTAAAATATTGCTCAGTGAGCATTGTGTTTCTTTATGATTGATTATTGTATTTCCTTTTACAACAGAAGATTAATGTTGCTGTTTGTTGTTCTTAGAAGTGATTATTGGTTGGAGTTTTTTTTTTAACGACATTATACTCTGCTATAAGCATATTTTTGTGTTCCTTCAGAGCTTGAATTTCAAACTTTTGTTTTATGAATTATATCACCATTTTTGCTTTCTAAGATAAAATATAAAAGTTTATTTAGTGCATAAACCACTCTGCTATCTGGACAAGCACTTAATGATCTCCTTTTAAATTCTTTTTTTTTTTTTTTAGTAAAGGGAAACCTCAATAGCAGTAATATACTCTAATGGGAATTATAAATCTGCTTTTAATTACTTTATTAAACAAAGGCTACTCATTTGTTATGCTTTACTACCTTCAAATGTAGCAACTGACAGACTCCCAGCATTAAGGAACCCATACTATATTTCATGAAGTAAAGAAGTCTGTTTCTCCTTTCAGAATTAAAATTTAAACTCACTATTTGTTTATGTTAAACAACTGAAAGTTATAAAAACTGAAGTTCAAGGAGGTTAAATGGTTGCTTCAAGGTGTTATAGCTAATCCTTTTTTCCTATTTTAACAATTTAATGTAGTTATATGTCTTCTTGTTGCAAACTGAGTTGAGACAGCATATAAAATTATATGTATCAAAAAAATAACTGGAGTGCATGATGAAGCCCAGGGGAAAGTAAGTATACACATAAAAGTATAGTGTGTGATCTCACAGTGTTCTCATAGTTGAGTTATATTTGCCTCTGAGTTTCCTAGCAGCCAAAGCAAAGAGAAATCTTATTAATTGCAACATTCAATTTATATATACACATAATGTATAACCAGATCACATTGTGTGTGTATGTATTTATGTATTAAATATCAGTTGCTCAGGAAATATATGTTTTTTTGGCCCAGAACTCTGACAGAAATTTGTCTATAGTAAAATACATAGCTTTACAAGGTTTTTTGACTCATAATAAATGTTTCTTCCTAGTCCCTATTTTAACTTGCTCCTACGTGCTTTAAATATAATTTTTTTAGTGGAATGACAAAATTTCTAGTTAGACGATAACCATTACTGCTGTGATGCTCTTCTCTGTTAGGAATTCTTGTTAAATCATGGGCACAGATCTTTGCCACCTCCAAAGCCCAAAACTTGCTGTTCCGGATCATAGATTGTTTACTGCTGCCGCATTCGGTGCTACAGCAAGAGAAGGAGCTGCCTGCACCTATGTTGACTGCCATTCAGAAGAGCCTGCCTTTCTATCTCCAGGTACAGTAAATGTGGCTGCTTAAAACTTAAAAACATTTGAAACTTTACCTTAAAACAGCTTACTAACTGCAGATTTAAAAACCCTGCATTGTCATCTCAGTGTATGTGTGTACATGTGGCACTTCCATTTAGCACTTTTCTCATTCCTTTCTTGTTTGGCTCTGAAAACAAAGATGGAAAAGACAAAATCTCCACCCTCGGGAAGCTTAAAGTTCGGGAGGAGGCTGACTAGCCTAGACACTTACAGTAATGTGCTCCACAGTTTTCTGAGGGGCCTCATCTGTCTGTCACCCTGACTGGGATGGGGAGATGTGAGAGAAGACACTGTACAGGATTGTTTGTCAAAGAGCAGCGTGGGTAGGAGTTGAAGTTCTATTCCTGTGAGAGGGAACAGCAGGGGAAGGGCATGCTTTTTGTAAGAATAGGACGCACTGGGGAAAAGCAAATAATTCTGTAGTGGCTGGAGACTCATATGGGAGGAGCCACATAATGGGGTTTTATATGCTATACTAAAAAGTTCGGATTTGTTCTTTTACTTGGGGACTGTTGATGGATTTTGAGTGGAAAAGTGGGAGTGATATATTTACATTTTAGAAAGGTGATTCTGGTGACTATCCAAGATAGTTGGTGTAGAGCTTAGATTGGAGACTTAGAAGGCAGTAAGTAGTTCATTATCTGAAGGTTTTGAACTAAGGCAGTGGGTATAGAGCTCACAGTAAATTTCAAAACATTTAGGAGCTTCAGTCAGCAAGACTTGCTAGAGTGACTGTTGTGGAGCAACAGAAAAAATAGAATACTTTCTAGGTTCCAGGGTGGCTGCTTATGTAGGTAGTAGTGCTACTAACTGAAATGGGATATTGTGGAGATAAAAGAGTGAAGGCAAGAAATTCTGAACAGCTTCAGCTTGAGGTGCTGGGAATACCTAGGTAATGGTGTTCAGCAGGCACTTGGAAGTATTGATCTGTCTTGGGAAGAAAGGACTGGGCTGGAGGTATACTTTGTTATTCATTAGTGCCTGATAATAGAGGTAAGTGCTTCTTAATTTGGGCTCTAGCAAGGGAAGCTGAGCAGGGAGGGAAGAATGGATTTTGATTAGGTAATAAGCAGTCTCTTCCACAGATGGATTTTTTAAACAGATTTTTATGATTTCTAAGACATTTTAAGTTGACTCTTTAATTTTGTATTCATAATAGCATTTAAAGCAAAGTTTGGCGTGTCTGCTGGCAAGATAAAGCACTGCCAATCCAGAGGGGACGGGAGGGGCTGCAGGAGAGTCTAGTGTGCTGTTGCCATGTGGCCCCCTTCAACCAAACGTGTACATTGAATATAATCCTTATAAACTTCCAGAGTTATACGTTGAAAAATTTGGTGAATTATTCATTTGGTGAATTGACTTGTTGGAGCTATATCTTTAAATTCTTAAAGGCGCCCAGCTCTCTTCAGACTTTTCGAAACATATCCATTTATCACTTCTTCTGACTTAATCTGCTTTTCCTTAAACAAAGCATTGAAGAAATGGGGTAGAGAGGTGGCCATTATTGTTTAAAAAATGTTTTTTTAATTGCTGTTTTTTTAACAGCTCTATGCTATTTTTCATTACAACTAACCTTTCGAAATTTCTTATTGGGTAAATATTTATAGCTAAAATGTAAACATAAATAATTTTAATTATTTCTTGGGGAAAACACATTGTGAATCACAAAGTACCAAATTATAAATGAACTTTTATATCATAATTTGTTGTTGTGTTGGTGATTATATTTAGTAATAGAGAATATTTAATAATATTGGCAGAAAATATTTCTGTTTATGAGGGTATTGGTTTAATCGTGTTTGTAAGTGTCAAATACTGTAATCCATATGAAAGTATTTTGTTAACTTCTATGAAAAGGGAAGGGATTAAATCAGCAGGCATGCAATATGACATTGAGCTGTGTAACCTTGATCAAGCTCTTAATGCCTAAACTTCAGCTTCCTCAGCTATAAAATTGGAGCTACGGTAATACTAACTCAATGGTTTTTGATTAATTTAAATGAAATAATGAATGTAAACCACGTGATACAGTGACTGACAAATGCAAACCTTCAAAATAAATTGTCATTATCCTGAGTCATAATCTTCTGCATTTCTCTCCTTTTGTTAATTAAAAAAATTATCACCTTCTTTGAAATGGAAGATTTTTAGCATAAGTTTTGTCTCACTCAGATAACTGTAAATGATCAGTGCCCTACATGCAAAAAACTGACCTAAAATACATCTTATAACTTGGTAAATACATATATATGCAGTTGATGAGGGTGGTGGTCAAGTTTTCTGAGGATGAGAGGAAGAAGGAAGCTTCCTTGGTCTTCCTACACTTCTCTCCTGCTTCCTTTGTGCCCCAAAGACAAGTACGTGGTTAGATACCACAGCATGGGGGTTACCAAGCTTAGCAACTCCCTGAACTTCATATAAACATTATCTGTTGATAGTGGCCAATGTTCTTCTTAATTGTGATAAGTTACAAATTGTGACATGAGTATTAATGCTGGTGACTAAATTAGTAAGTTCCCAAATATTTTTTTTAACTTTGCCTTTTAATATATCTGTTTTGTTTTTTCCCTCCCATAGGGAATGTGTATCGTGTGTTGTCAGTCTCAAAATCCAAATGCCTATTTGAATCAGTTGCTGAGGAGTGTTATTGAGCAGTATATTGGGCGGTTTCTTCCAGCTTCACCACATGTTTTAGATCTTGAACAACATCCTATTTTGTTGGCATTGAGAAACTCGGCCACTCTTGCACAGATGTCATCTCTAAAGAAATGCATTGTACAAGTCATAAGGTATCTCTAAATATTAAAAATAAGTGGTATTTACAATTTATTAATTTTTTTTAAAAAGTAGCAAAGCATTTCAGAACTACTGGCTTCCCTTAAAATACTGGTAGTTTAGAAAAAATTTTATTTATTTTTAATCCTCACCAGAGAATATTTTTTTCATTGCTTTTTATTTATTTACTTATTTTTACATTTCTAAAAAATATATGTATTATGTTTTTATTGATTTCAGAGAGAGGATGTCAGAGGGAGGGAGAGAGAGAAACGTCAATGATGAGAGAAAATCATTCATTGACTGCCCCCTGCATGCCCCCTACTGGGGATGGAGCCCACAACCCAGGCATGTGCCCTGACTGGAAATCAAACCGTGACCTCCTGCCTGGTTCATGGGTCGATGATCAACCACTGAGCCACACAGGGCAGGCTTCATTGCTTTTTAGAGAAAGTGGAAGGAAGGGAGGAGGCTGGAGAGAGAGAGAGAGAAACATGGATGTGAGAGAGACACATCGATTGGTTGCCTCCCACACGCACCCTGACTGGGGTGGGGAGAGCCTACAACCAGGGTATGTGTCCTGGACCGAGAATCTAACCCGTTACCCTTCGATCTGCAGGCTGTTGCTCTAACCACTGAGTCAGACCAGCCAGGGCAACAACTCAGTTTTATTATTAGGCAGACAAATAAATGAAATGTCTGAGGTTTTGTGCGGAACTCCATACCTTTTAACTAACTGCAACATTAGAAGATTCAATAATAGAAATTATCTTTTCTTTGTCTCCATAGAGTATTTAGCTTCAGATGAAATCAGTTTTTAAACTTTAAGATGCTGTGCTGCTATAGGCTTGTCCAGTATTTTTTTCTCTTTTTAATGACCTGATAGTTCTAATGACCTGATATTATCCATCACCTTTTTACAGATTCCATGTCTAAAATCTGTTCTGCCTTCCAACCATTGTGTGTGTGTGTGCATGTGTATGTGTGTGTTCCTAGTGTTCTGTTACTCAGGTTTAGAAGCTTTATAGTTTGTTCCCTCCCTTTTGCCATCCTCTGGCAAATGATTTTTTCCTTATACCTTGGTGATTGCCAGAGTCGCTTAACTACTTTCACTATCTTGTCTTTTCTTCCAGTGCAGCCTAAATAATTCCTCTAGGTTACTTTTCCTGAACTACTGTTCCATTACGACACTTTCCTGCCCCCAGACCTTCATTTGCTCTTTTTTTTTTTTTTTTACCTTTGGAATAAACTCCATGATCTGTCACTTAACTTTCCCATGGCACCTTATTCAAACCCTATGAGATTGGTTTATTATCGCCCCTCCAAAGTGCTTTTTAATTCCCTACATTACAGCATTGTCTCCATTAAAATGAGATTCATCTGGACTAAATCCCACCCAGACATTGTAAGACCTGCACCTAACGTGTCAGTGTGGCATGATGCTGCTCTCCTTCTGAAGTCATATGTTCTGTATGTTTCAGTTCTCCAAATTGTCATATCTGTGCCTTACTTGTATCTGAATTCTCATCAAGATGGTAGTACTTTACCACTGTGTGTAAGACACTGTTTAAGTAGTTTTAGTACAAACCCAGTGACAAATGATGAAATTAAATCCTTAAGGTCATAAAATGTTTTTAAAGCCCAGTGTTGAAAATCCTGGCTGCTTTCTCATGATTTCTAGTTGACTCCAAAATGTAACAATTCCTTTTTCTTTTTAAAATACTCAGGAAAGCAATAGAGATTGGCTCCTATGCTTTCCTCCATTTCATGCTTCTCTACTCCTGCAGTTCCCAGTCTTAGTTAAGGTTTCCTTCCTCTGAATTCCTGAGAACTCTGAGCTTATTATTCAAAGCACCTATCACACTGTATCATGATAGTCTTTTTTCTTGTCCAGCTTTTTCACTGGACACTGAGCCCCTTGCTTTCAGATATCATATTTTACTTAACTTTACATTTTTGTCTCAGATTTGTACCTGGCACACGGTAGGTACCCAATAAATGTCTGTTCTAGGCACTAGGAATTTAGCAGTGAACAAAAAAGACAAAGCCTTTGTCCTCAGAGAATGAATGAACCTTCTAATATGTAATAGTTGTTGGAAGCCACTGTATGGAATAGAAATGATGATGAAGACATAGTTCTTGCCCTTACTAAGTTTATAATTCTTGGCGATTTCTATGCCTCACTTTGGCAAATTATTATTGCTTTGCAAATATATATGGATGACTAGCTTAGATTTAGTGGCATTTGACAATTTTCCATATTGTCTAGACTCTTTAGAAATTGAATGATCCCACCTTCATTTATTCACCTAACAGATGTTCACTGGACACCTGTCACAAGCCAAAACCTGTTCTAAGAGGAGGGATACAAAAATGAGTCAGATAAATTACCTTGATGATCTTGGATGAGTTCTGATGCTAAAATTTGCCCTGCTTTGAGAGAATATATTAAATCGTAAATAACCCCTCCAATTCTTTTACTTCCAAAGGGACCGAAAGAGGTAAAGCTAGAGTAACGCTAATTCCTAGGACAGTCTTATTGAATTTGGGCGGGGTACTCCTCCCAAATCCCTAAATAAATAAATGTGAGATTTCTTTATGTAAATTTGACATTACAGAAAATGCTGCATCATTGAGGAGCTGATGGATCAGGCTTATTATATTAAAAAGGAAAAAACATATTAACAGTTAAATTTTTATTTGGATTTTGATTTAGTGTATTTTAAGACCAGGTTGCTTTAAATTTAGCTCGTGTCTATATTCAGCTTTGGCCCTTACCCAACACCAGAAAAATGTGCACTCGTTGTCTCTCATGTTCTGTTTGAAAACAGCGTGGTAAAATATACATACGTTTTAGAAATTGTGCTTTATTATTGTAGGAGGGAGGGGGGACTAAAATTTGCCATTATCTATAAAGTGTGTATCATTTGATTCTGCTCACTTGAAACTTTGAACAGAAGAAAAAACAAAATTGTGCTTCTTTTCAGGAAATCCTACCTTGAGAGTAAACAGTCCTTCTTCCCTCCACGCTTAGCACCCATTCTGGCTTTCATTCTCCAGCTCACCAAAGAAACTAGCATAGATGCTTCTGAGGTTGAACTCCTCCTCCCTGGAGTCTTAAAATGTTTGGTGTTGGTCAGTGAAGCCCAAGGTGAGTTTCAGTTTGTGTCTGTTACACTTTTCTGTTCACAGATTAAGAAGTACTCTTTTCTATCAGTTAAATTGATAGTTACAAAAGTATTTGTTGATTTTATGTTGGTTTGTATATATCATGGCTAAAGAACAAACTCTAGCCAATAGCTGAGGTTGAACATGATAAAATCGTTAAAAACTGACATGTTTCAGTCTAGTTTAGTTTAGTTTTTTCCAAGGCAAATAATTAAGTGCTACTTTCTCTGATTAGACTTCTTAAGCTCTTAAAGAATATTTGTTCAATCCCACTCCAGTATTAAATGCACCTTGTTAAATAATAAGTTGTTAGAAGTCAGCATAGTTCCTTCTATTCGGGTTCCTGCTAGAACATCTAAGCTGATTTCTTGGGTAAACCTGTAAGGATCTTGTGATCCTGTTCCTTCTGTTTTCAGTCTCCTTAGCCCTACTGCCAGGTGATCTCTTATTTAAAACATCATTTATTTGATTCCCACTGTGAGTAGCATGCTTTAATAAGCTTATTAGGAATATGCAGAAAAGTAGCCAGAGCTCTATCCTCAAGGAATTTAAAAAATGTAAATAGGATGCTCTGTGTGTGTGTATTTATCATTATAATGCGATTGTTCAGGGCAGGGCTTCTCCAGTGCTTCTACCTGAGTTCTGTAACTGCTGTGCTGAGTGAGGATAGTATGTGTCCTCAGGAATCTGGGCAGTGCCCAAAGTGGTAGCTAAAAAGACACCCCTTTGAAATGCTCTGTTTTATCTCAAAAATTTTATGCATAATTTGGTTTAATCCTCATTTTAATAACTTAAAATGTTCTTTCTGCTCCCAAGCTTGGTTTTGGGAAAATGTTCTGTTCTGTTAATTTAGAGTACCCTTACTTCATAGTAACATCCCTTCACTGAAGAATACTCAGGTGGACCTCAGACTTTTCTTGAGAAATTTTGCCCTCATTGAAAACTTAAGCATACCGTAATCTCAGTGAAAGCTTGTATTGTGTAATACAAAATTTCTTGAGACAAAGTAAATAGTATAAAATTTTAGCTAGACTGTTATTTTGATGATAGTAATATGTATTATGAAGGAGGTCAGGGTTTGGAAGGTGAATTTGTCTCTTATATCTAGTGTAAACCAAAATTAATTTTAGACTTGTAATACATAATTTTAAAAAAGTATTTATATGAGTAAAAGGAACTATAGTCTGGCAGGCACAGATTCAAGTATCAACCTAAATTGTGCTCCACTAAGACAAAGTGTAGGCCATATTTTATAAAGTTCCCACCCAGGCTCCCAATTTTATGCAAATGAGGTTTTCAAGTTACGCAGTTCTGATCGGACAGGACCGGTCTCTGTTCATTGGTAGAAAGACGAAACCAGGTTTTTCTGAGGTGGTTGACACAAGCAGCATAAAACAAGCAGGACACAGTGCAGGAAGCCAAGGGTTCAGTCTGAGGTTCTTCCTGGTACACAGAGGATGTGAGGAGCCCTGGCAGCAAATAGGTGCTAGACTCTTACTATAAAATTTGGGCCTTGGTTGACCCTGGGAAGTTCATCTGAGCAGTTAAGTTCCTTCTTGAGGTTCACATCAAATGAATCTTTCTTCTCGGGTCTACACTGGCTAGTGAGTGCTTCCCATGTTCAGCATAGATGGAGTATAGAATTCTCCTGCTCCACGTTACTCTCTGTAACCTTGAAGGAGCTACAGTAAACCCAGATTTGAGTACTTGGCTCCAAGAAAATTCCAGCTCTCCTCGTTGTCTCAATGTTTAAAAGGACAATTTGTACAATAATAACTATTACCAAATGACTCAGCAAGTCCACTCCCTGGTCTATGCTCGAGTATTTTAATCACATGTACACTCTAAACCCTCTACAGAGCTGAACGAGTTCCACTTCTTGCATGTCAACGTAAGGAGCTCTGCCAACCTGCTCCCCAGCAGAACTAGTGAAAATTACTTTAATAAAAGCATTAAAGTCTCTAGAAATAGCCATAAGGATAGACAGCAAGTGGAGAAACATTTAAGAAAATCTACTAAAACTTGGTAAAAATAGCAAGAACCTGTGATACCAAGACCACTTCCTTCTTTTCTCCCAACACAGGAAGACAGAAACTCTACTCCAGTCTGGCAAATCCAATATAGGGCTCTCTCTCTCCCGAGCTTTTGGTAGGATCCTGTAGTAGGCAGGCTACCAACATTTCTCATGGTGGCCCCAAGCTACCTGATGCTAATGTTACGTTTCAGGCAAGTGTGGCTAATAAGTGGGGGCTCCATTCTGCTTAACTCCCACTCTTGGGATTGTTGCAGTACATTTAGTGTGACACTCTTGAGAATACGGGGGTGCCAGCCATTCCTGCAGCAGCTTAGAGATGGGGGTGTTCCATGCCAACATAAGCAAGCTGAGGGGATCTGGGGCAGGTGGCCCTCCTTCCACAAGCACTGAGCTCCTAAAGTGGAGTGTTGCTCAGAAAGTGGTGGGCCCCATTGTCCCTTTCACCAGAGCCAGAACCATGCCTCTGAGATTTTGCCTGCAACTCTTGAATCCCTCCCAAAAGAGCTGATTTCATTTGCACACAGTGTGAAAAAGTTCAAGCCTAAGGGTACTGTCAAAAACAGGCCCTAGAGGGAGAATATAGAATCACTGGAGCTATCAGATCATCTGTAGGCCAGCTAGTTTGGTGAGAGAATTGGTGAAAGAGACAGCTAGTTAGAGCCCTTGGGTCAGAACAAATCTCAGAGGCTGATTTCAGCGTTTCATCCTTTTAAAAGTGCCTGAACTTGATTAGATCAGTCTATAAAGCCATTAATGCCCCAGGGCATTATAAAAAATAATAGCATAATCAGTCAGCAATTAGTGGAGCTTAACAGCTGGTGTCAACATGGGAAGGGACAGTCAGAGAGAGCACTGTCAAAACCATTGTCCTCCAGGGAGACTGGGCATATCTAAGGTTACAGCGTCTGAGGAGCAGTTTTAGAGGCTTCACACTGGGGAGCAGGGAGAAGGAAGTAGATTTCAATAAAAAATGTTCAGTTTTCAACAAAAAAAATTACAGGACCTACAAAGAATCAGAGAAATATGATCCATTAACAGGAAAAAGTGGGCAATGGAAGCTGCCATTGACAGCAGTAAAACACTGGATTTAATGGACAAAGACTTCAAAATAGTAGAGGAACAAAAAACAAGACATTTAGAAAACAAAGTGTAAAATGACTAATGTAAACCCAACTATTATTGATAGTAGCAAAAAGTGAAAAGATTGAACAATCCAATGAAAAGACAGAGATTATAAGAATGGGTAGTTTTTTTAAAGATCTAACTAAATTCTGTCTGTAGGAAACACTTTTGATTAAAACATTGAAAGTAAAAGGTGGAAAGGACACTTCATGCAAACTGTAGCCACATAAAGCAGGAGTGGCTATACTAATATCAGACAAAATAAACATTAAGTCAAATAATCTTCCTAGAAATAAAGACATTGTTTATAATGATAAAAGGGTCAGTCCATGAGGAAAATTTAACAAAGTATATATGCAACAAACAGAGAACCAAAATACAGGAAGCAAAAATTGAGAGACATGAAGGAAGAAATAGACAGTTCAACAGTCATAGTTGAAGGATATTTTTGGTTTTCACTTCATGTAAGGAGCTAGAAAGCCATCACTCTCACCTTATTGAATCATCTTGCTACCTTTGTCAAAAACAAAACAAAAAACCCCACAAAACCCATGAACACGTGGGTTTATTTCTGGACTCTCAGTTCTATTCTATTGATCTATCTTTATGCCAGTACTACACTGTCATGATTACTGTTGCTTTGTATAAGTTTTGAAATTGGAAATTTGAGTCTTCCAACTTTTTTTTTCACCCCCAAGATTGTTTTGGCTATTCTGGGTCCTTATCAATTACATATGAATTGTAAGTTCAGCTTCTCAGTTTCTACAAAGAAATCTGTTGGGGTTCTGGTGGGAGTTGCACTGAATTTGCAGATCAGTTTGGGGAATTTTACCACCTTAGCAATATTAACTCTTACAATTCAAGAAAATGGCATTTTATTTGTTTGTTTTTAAATATATCTTTACTGATTTCAGAGAGAGGAAGGGAGAGGGAGAGAGAGGTAGAAGCATCAATGATAGGAGAGTCCTTGATCGGCTGCCTCCTGCACACCCCCGATGGGTTATCAAGCCCACAGCCTGGGCATGTGCCCTGACCGGGAATCGAACCTCAATCTCCTGGATCCTAGGTCAATGCTCAACCGCTGAGCCACGCCTGGCTGGGTGGCATGTTTTTTTATTTATTTAGATATTCTCTAATTTCTTTCAATAATGTTTAGTACTTTTCAGATTAGAAGTTTGTGTTTGTCTTTTGTTAAATTTATTTGTTTTTAATGCTATTGTAATGGAATGATTACAATCTAATCTTTCACATTAAGAGTGAGGTCCACTATAGGATATTCATAGGTGTCCTTCATCAGACTGAAGCAGTTCTCCCCTTCCCAGTTTGTTATTATGTAACCCACTTCTTTATCCCTGATAATCCTACTTGTTCTGAAGTCTGCTTTGTCTGAAATTAATACAGCTACTACAGTTTTGTTTTTAATTGTGTTAGCATTGTATATATTTCTCCTTCCCTTTAATCTATCTATGTCTTTTATGTTTAAAGTAGACACAGTTGCAGACAGCATGTAGTTGGCCCTTATTTTTTCATCCATTGTCAGTCATTTAGTTACCTTATTTAGACCATTGACATTTAAAGTGATTATCGATATAGTTGGATTAATATCTACCATATCTGTAACTTTTCTATTCATTGCTCTTGTTCTAATATTCTTTTTTTTTCCTGCCTTCTCTGTTGGTTTTAATTGTGCACTTTATGTGATTCCATTTTCTCTTCTCTCTTAACACATTATACTCCCTTTAAAATTTTGATATTTAGTGGTTTCCCCAGAATTTGTAGTATATTTAAACTAACCTAAGTCCACTTTCAAATGACACTATATTCCTTCATGGTAGTGCAAGTACCCTTTAACATAGTATTCCCAATCCTATTTTCCTGTCCTTTATAACATTGCTGTCCTTCATTTCACTTATCCGTAAGGTATGATCACCAAATACTTGTTATTATTTTGAACAAAAAGCTAGTAGATCAATTAAAACTGAAGAGAGAGGTAAATAAAGAGAATCACAGCTTACCAGGATCAGAAACCTGCTGCTGGAACTGATATTGGTAGAAATGTTTAAACTGAATTTGACATATTGTTCTATGCTCAGTTTGGGGGGAAGCAGTTTGCTCTATGACCTTATTTCTGTGATGCATCTAGGGAGAGTTGTTTTTCTGTTTGTTCAGATTATTTCCCCAAATTGATCTGCAAATTCAGTGCATCTCCTACCAGAATCCCATCAGACTTCTTTGTAGAAATTGACAAGCTGATTCTGTGATTCATATATAATTGCAGAGGTCCCAGAATAGCCAAAACCATCTTGAAAAAGAAGAAAGTTGGAAGACTCACACTTTCCAGTTTCTAAACTTAGTATAAATCAACAGTAATCATGACAGCGTGGTACTGGCATAAAGATAGTACCACAAAGACAGACAGATCAGTGGATAGAGAGTCCAGAAATAAACCCACGTATCTGTGGGTTCTGTTTAACAAAGGTGCCAGAGTGACTTAGTAAGGGGAAACTTGTGCCTTCAATTCATACTATATACCAAAATTAACTCAAAATGGATTTAGACCTAAATATCAGAGCTCAAACCATAAAACTCTTAGAAGCAAGCATTGGAGTAAATCTTCATGACCTTGGATTTGTGATACTAAAAGCATGAGCCACAAGAGAGATAAATTAGACTTAATTACAATGAAACCATTTGTGCTTCAAAGGACGCTATCAAGAAAGTGCAAAGACATCCAACAGAATGGGAGAAAATATTTGCAAATCATTTATATAAGGAACTTTTTTCTACAATATGTAAAGAACTGTTATAACTCAATAATAAAGAGACAAATAACAATTAAAAAATAGGCAAAGGATTTAAATAGACATTTCTCCAAAGAATATAGACAAATGGTTCAACATCATTATTCATCAGGGAAATGCAAATCAAAACCACAGTGAGATACAATTTCATACTAGGTTGGGTATGATGAAGAAGTCAGATAAGAGCAAGGCTTGAAAGTGGAGAAATTAGAACCTGTATTTACTGCTGTTGGGAATGTAAAATGGTATAGCCACTTGGGAAAACAGTCTGATAGTTTCCCAAATGGTGTTACCATTTGACCTAGCAATGCCACTTCTAGGTATATACCCAAGATTAATGAAAGTATAGTCCACACAGAAACTTGTACATTAATGTCTATAGCAGTGTTGTTCATTATGCCAAAAGGTAGACTGCCCATCACCTGATGGATTTTTAAAATGTAACATATTCATACAATGGAGTATTATTTGGCCATAAAAAGGAGTGAAGTACTGGTACGTGCCACAACATGGATGAACCTTGAAAACATTCTAAATGAAAGAAGCCAGTTACAAAAGACCACATAGTATATGATTTCACTTATATGAAATACCCAGAATAGTTAAATCTATAGAGAGAAAATAGATTACTGTTGGTATCAGAGAATAGCGAGTGATAGCTACAGGGGGTGGGGCTTCTTTTCAAGGTAAAGAAAATATTCTGAAATTGACTGTGGTGGTGGTTATATAACTCTGTGAATATCCTAAAACCCCTTGGACATGTTAAATGAGTGAAATGTACAGTATGTGAATTATATGGCAATAAAATTGTAAAAAAAATCTAAAAAATGAAAAAGATTACCCAGTTTTATTTAAAAAGAAAAAAAAAAAAAACTCAGTTCAATTAAATAAACAAAGATGGCAATTTTTTTTTTTTTTATATAAAACTAGATAAAATGGAAACAATCCAATGCCCATCAACTAATGAATGGATAAACAATATAGGGTATACCCATACTTTAGAATATTGTTTGGCTGCCAAAAGAAAGGAAGTACTGATACATTCTATAGCGTAATCAGCCACAGAAGATGACATGTCATACAATTCTATTTATATAAAATTTTCAGAAGAGTCAAATCCATAGGGGCAGAAAGTAGATTAGGGATTGCCCTGCACCAGGGGAGAAAGAGAAGAGAATCCTGCTAATGGGTATAAGGTTTTTAGGGAGGTGATGAAATTGTTGTAAGTTAAATAGTGATGGCTTCGTAACTCTGTGAATATACTAAAAGCCAGTTAATTATATACTTTAAAAGGTTGGTGTTTCTGATATGTGAATTATACCTAAATAAAATTGTTATTTTAAAAAAACAGTGCTTACTATTAATATGCTGTGAAGGCCACTTCTTCATGTTCTGGTACTTTTTCCACAGAATTTTTGGAGTTTGTTTTTCAAAAAAACAAATTTTGAGAAGAACCAGTGATATTGGTTCTTAGTATTGTATCTAACATGAGAAGTTATTTTCTCAATAAATACAAGTATGCTGTATCTTCTGTATCCACTATCTGAGGCCATGGAAAATGTTACTACTAAGTATTAATTTAAGTTCATGTGCATCCTGTGTTTTCTGCTCCTGCTGTAATGGGTTACACTTTCTAAAATTTATTTTTTAGTTTTAGAGAAAGCATTTTTGCCCCAACTACTTATATTTAATGTGCCAAAAACAACAAAAATTTAGTAGCATCTGGAACATGTTGAATTTTCTACATTGTTTCTTGATTTTTAAGATTTTATGTGCAGGTGCACAATTTAAAAAGATTTGGTTACATATTTTAAAAATACAGATGTCCTTTTTGTGACTTTGTTGTTTGAAAGGAAGATAGCATCAAAAATAGTTGATACGTGTGTATGTGTCTGTGTGTATTTGTATCTGACTAATTTTAAGTGAAGGCAAGTTGTTGGATTCTAATTTGCTATGTATATATTTGTTAGTGAGTGGGAGGAATACGCTTGTGAATTTTAAATAATTAATCTGCTTGTCTGTAAATCAGCTGAATTATTAAAGGTTGTCTTTTGTCAGCATGTGACAGTGCTTGCAGGGTTAGGATGTTACAGTGTTTTTGAATATGGGCTCTTTTCTAAGAGAAAGACATACCTTCACATGTATTTTTTCAGGTATAAGGTTGTAAAATATAGATGAGCTTTTTACATTTTCTTGAAACAAAAGGGAGGATAGATTGGGAGATACACTTTTGAAGAAAACAAAACCTCGTAACGATTTCATTTTGAGAAATAACAGGAAAGCATATACATACTTTAAGAAAACAACATATTTTTCTAAGTCAAGAGTGTTTATAAAAATGAGGGTCCAGATGGTCAATTCAGACACAGTGTATATATAATGCTGTAATTTTTCCTCCTAGTGAAAAGGCTGGCCACCGAGAACTTGCAGTGCATGGTAAAAGCCTGCCAAGCAGGGTCAGAAGGAGAACCTGCCGCCCAGCTGACTTCAGTGTTTAGGTAACTGGAAATTGTGCCAACTGGCAAGGAGACTGTTGCCAGCCATTTGACAGCCAACATGTTTTTTAAATAACTAATTATCCAAAACATAATGTGTTACTACTTGTTCATAGTATTTCAATCATTGTATTTTTGGCAGTGGTTTTATTACATTGTGTTGTTTTATTTAAAAAATAAAGGTGCCAGGGAGAAAGATAAGTGAGCTGACCTCAGGTTACTTGTGTATTTAGTAGGGAAGATCCTTGCATATATTGAGAGGGAAAAGTGGGAAATGTGGGTCCTGATGACACACAGGCCTTCAGAGCTCCTAAACACTTACTGAGGATCCAGTGTAGACATGCACGTCACGGGTTCCTTACTTGCTTTAGGTTCTGCTGACCAGAAGGCTCATGACACCTCATTTGTGAAGCATCGACTGTGTAGGAGTAGATCTGTCGTTCACAAGAACTGTCGAGCTGGAGGAACTCTTCCCTGTCCCCTGCTTTCTGTCAGGCAGCGTTTCCTGTGAGGCCGGGTTTTAAGTGTTTCCACCATGTTCCACCAGTTCCATTACTGTGCACCCTCTGCGCCAGCGTGACCGTAACAAGCAGTTTGGAGGCATTTTCTCTATCTCTGCTGGGTCTTTGGTTCCTCACTTTTTCTACTCATCACATACTTGGCCCCTGTCAGGTGTTTATGGTTTATTTACATTGTGAGCACTTGAAATAAATTATGGATTTGTAAAACTATAAAACCCTAATGGGGAGAAAGGATTTATATGAATAAAGGATGCGTGTTTGTTATGTGCAATTTATTAAGATGACCTTTATTTTCTTGGGGGAGAGAGTGGAAGTTTTAGGGTTAAAATCCATAATTCTTATTTATAAAGGCCTCCTGTGGGTCTAAAGTCTCGTTTGATTCCAGAATATAAAAATATATTATGAATAACTTGCTTTCCCCATAGACATATTGTTTCATTTATCTAGAGATATAAAGAACTAAAAGAAATCTAGGAAGCCAGACTTGTTTTCTTCTTAGTCTCTTCCACATCCTTACCACCCAGATTTCATCATACAGACTAGACTATAGCAGAAAAATCCCCGGGCTTAGCTTACACGGAAATAAGCCATTTCTGACCTTCATTTTTTTACTGTTACATTCTTTTTACTCTTAATTCTAAATTCTGTAGGTAATCTTACATGAAATTATCTTATGTATGGTTATAACTGATTACCATATAGATATCAGCCCAAGGAATTGCCCCAGAAGTAATCCTGAGTAACTTGATTTACTTTCAGGCATTTTATCCAGGACTATGGAATGAGATACAGTAATCAGATTTACAGCATTTTAGAAACAGTAGCAGCATTGGACCAGCAGGTTGTCATTCACTTGATTCCTGCCCTCACTCAGTCTCTGAAGGATTCAGAGCAGAAATATGGCATTGGCAGAAATATGGCACAAAGGTATGCTTGATAATTTGATTAAGTTCTTTTGGGCATGAAAAATCTAGGTTTGTTTTCTAGAAATGGGTTATTTTTCCATTGCCAACAATTTGGGGAGTATTGAGTTGAAATGTGTTTTAGTGCTGTGAGTGACACACTGTCCACACATTGTCCTTCTCAGGGTGACCACCCTACAAAGCTGTATGTTTCACCAGTGCTGCTGTTGCTCAGAACAGTGTTCCTCACTGGGAAGTGGGCTTAGAGCCTCGTGTCTAGTTTTTGTATAAAATCCATGGTGGCAAATCAGCCCTTTGAATCAACTATATCACGTGTACCCAGTGAATAGGTTGAGCAACCCAATTAGATAGTAAGGTTTTTGGTAAAAAATAGATAAGGCTTTTTTTCTTAAAGGTTTACAGCCAACTGAGGACAGTGCAGCACCGTGGGTGCGCCTGTGGCTCCTGAAGAGGTGGTTCTTGAGGGGTCAGCACTTGTCCTAGAAACCATGTGTCCTGAAGTTTGTTAAGGAATCAAAGTACTTTGATCACATTGTGTGTGTGTACAGCCAGGCAGGTTCAGTTTGCAAATACTTAAATAAAAAGTAGGGGGAAGGGAATAAATATATCTGCCTTCTTTTCTCCTACACAGGGAAGCCTACAGCAAACTTCTCTCTCTCCTAGGACAAGTGGGACAAGATGAGATACAGAAACTGGAAAATGACAACTAATGTGTTTTGTGGTTCATCTTTTCTATTTATTATAACTATCTAACGCCACTTAGCATCATTCTGACTCCTAATTGTTTGCTGTTCTGTTAAAATTATTTTCTAGGACTTTTTTCCTGACTTACCTGTAAGTATACTAAATAAGTAAATAAAGTTTAAGTTACGGGATCTCTGGAAATTGGCAAAACTGCATTCTATTTTAGTTAAACTAAATTAAAGAAACTTTTTGTAACCGGGAGTGTTATCTGTGTACAGCTAAGCAGGTTTGTACTGGTTGATCCCCTGGATTTTTTACCATAATGTGACTTAGTATCTTGTAATTTGTTTGTGTTGTGTTTTTTACAAGTTATGTTCTAATTAGTTTTTTTTGAATGGTGGGAAGAGGTTAGGACTAGGACTATTTGTTAATCTTTTACATATATATTAAGTGAGAGGCAAGTTAATAAATGAAACCCTTATCAAACCTGCTTAACTCTGTGAGGAATGAGACTGAATCTGCCTAAATGATTATACAGATAATATATAAATTTTTTTTAAGAATTAAGCCAACAGTGTTCGTTTAGGTTCCAACAATTGCCTGATGTTTTTCTTATTCTTTCTTTCGGAGTTCTCATTAATAGACAAGGAGCGTAAGCAACAGTCTGTAAGAAGGGGATTAATAATATTCTGGAAAATCTTTGTATTACAAGTTAGCAGAAGAGGCCTGAGAAGTCAGCTGATTTACCTCCTTGCTCTTCAGTTAGAGCCTCTTATTACTTAGCATCTTATGTGTTTACAGGGAACCAGTTTAATTTCTTTAAGCAGGTATTGCCTCTTAACTCTGTAACAGTCTCATCTAGGTTTATTTTACCAGTTGGGCTCTTGACTCCTTTTTGTGGTAAGCATTATTTGGTAAAAAGAGCTCTAGTCCTAGTGTTTGGAACCCACCTGCTTCTCAAACCTAGCTCTGCTTTGTGACCTTGAGCAATTACTTAACCTTTCTGAGCCTCAGTTTCTTCATGGAGAAAAAAAGAATAATCTGTTTTCTCTTTTATAGCTTTCTGGTAAGATTCAGTAGGAAAATGTATGTGAAATATTTGGTGACCTGTATTCTGTTCGTATGTGTACAAATATGTACACTTTGAATATGTATTATTCATGCACAAAGGTAAAAAAAACGCCTCTCCACTCTGTCCCTCTTCCTTTAATGTCCTGGATGAATGATCCTATTTCTCTTTTTGTGGTGTTTTCTTATGCATCACGTTTACTGTCTTTCAAACAAGTTCTTGCTTCTTGGGACTCTGGTCTTCATGGTTCTGTTCCTTCAAGAATACATTTCAGCCCTTTTCTGGCTCAAAAAGTATTTTAAAAATGAAATGTATTGCAATCAGCAAAGTATAGTTAATAGACCACTCCTAATTGTAACCTGAAGTCTAAAGGAGTGTCTGTTGTTTTCATGGTATACAGGTGGTCTAGCCCCCCCAGATCAGCTGTCCTCACTTCAGTGAAATGAATGAAAGTCTCTTTACCTTTACTTAATAGACTTCATAGCAATGAATTTCTTTTCATTATTATGATCATTATGATAGTGATTTGTTACACTATTTTATCTATTTAAGGTGATGCTCTTAAACAAGTTATTGTGTAGTTTATATATTTTTTATTTTCCAAGGGAAGACTGATAAAGGTATCTTTGAGAATCTTGCTCCTTAGGGGCTGAAACTTTTAAGGGATAAGAAAAGCTGCTGAATCGTGCATTAGGGTGTATAACTGGAGCTGTTAAGAATAACTAAAGTTTATACCTAAAAATCAGTTGCAACAAAAAGTCTGTAACAATACAGGTATATGTATGTTTTTTATTAAGAAAATTTTAAAGCTGATTTTTTATTTTGTTTAATTAAAGAAAAAATTTGTGACTTAGTTTTTTTCCTTGAAAATCTTCACTGGCCCTTCAGTCTTTACTATAGTCTGGTCTTTGTTCATTCCCAGACTTAGAGTACCTTCTATCTGCTTCCTTAATACCCACTTTTCTCTAAATAGCATTGTCTCTGAGGCTGCTGCTCTACCTTTTTTTTGTTTTGTTTTTTTAATATATCTTTATTGATTTCAGAGAGAGAGAGAGAGAGAAACATCAATGATGAGAAAGTCGTCATTGATCGGCTGCCTCCTGCTCACCCGTGATGGGACTGAGCCCGCAACCCGGGCATGTGCCCTGACCGGGAATCGAACCCTGATCTCCTGGGTCGATGCCCAGCTGCTGAGCCACGCCCAGCTGGGCTCTACCTTTTGTAAGTCACCCTCTTTTGGTGAAATCTGAGCGTGTGCCCTCATTTCTCACATCCTCTGGTCTCTGTGACATGCGCCCTCCGTTTGTCTTCTCCCTTCCTCAGCGAGGCTGCTCCTCCCCACATGCTGCTCCGAGAGCACCTGCACGTCCTTTCTTGTCCCCAGCGGTGAGATCGGGCCCTTCCCCTGTTCTCGGTGGTCCTAGGAGTCAGTTAACACTAGCTCATAGTTTTCTCAGATCTATTTCTTGGGCTAATTTCTCTCTGAACCACTCTAATTCGCTCCTTCTGAAATCTCGAGGCAACAGGTCAGGCTGCCCTTGTCGCCCTCTGTTCCAGGCCACCTGTCTTTACTCTCGACCCAGCAGTTTCCTCATGTTGCTTCTCTGTGAAACTTCAGAGGCCTCGTGGGTTGTTCCTTGTTCCCCGCTTTCAGTTGATGAGCAGCACAGGCTCTTGCTTTTTGCCACTTTGTGCCACTCCGTGCACCCTGTTTTTCTGTTGGGCACTAGAATCTCTCATCTCCTCTCAGTCTCCTTTTCTGCAGTCAGTCCTTCTCACAGTTGACATGAGTGTTCCTAAAATACTACTTTCCTCTAGTTACTTTCCTGCTCAGCGCCTTCGCATTACTTCCTCTTGTTAACAAGCTGACCGTCAGCCCTGCAGTCAGCTTTCTGCCTCTGGCTCCACCTTTCCTGTCCACACTTACCTCGGGCAGGCGGCTGGGCTGCCCTGGCCCTCGGGAGGCCGTGGTCGTTCTGTGCTGATAGGCCGCCACCGCTTCTGTGAACTGTCAGGTGGAGCGCAAAGAGATGATTGAAGCACAAGTGTGATGAAGTGACTTTATTAGACATTTGGATTTGGTTATGATTTAAATCTTAATTGAACATTTAATTAGATTTCCATGGCGAAGGGGAAAAAAACATGGAGTATTGTCTCTATACAAAAAAACATTTAATATTGAGTTCATTTGCCTTAGAAGAGTTTCATAGTTTAAAACTTTTATATCTTTACCTATTCCTAGTATATTTTCTTCTTAAGTGTAACTTTTTCTACCTGGGCATCTATGTAAAAAAATAATTGTGAGTTATCAGACTATGTATATGTGTTCTTTACCTATCATTGTTGTCCTCTCATGCTTTATGACAACACTTTAAAGCTACTTTGTTCTTAAAGAATTACATGGATCTGTTTTCATGTACTTTTACAGGCTTTGACAGTTTCAAATTTTACAACCCCTTTGTTAAGATTATGTTACTTAAAAGAAGTTGACAGGCCTCTGCAGCTGGGAAAAGCCTGTATGAAACATACCTTCCCTAAATACTACATGTTAACACAGCTCTTGTGTTTCAGAGATAAAAGATAGAGATCATAGAAACTTCACTAAAAGCTGTAGTATCAGTACCACCACTGTTTTTGAATGATAGACTTTACATAAACCCTACATTTTCCAAAAACTGATCTGTCTGCTCCTCCTAGGGTTAAAAATATTGCCGTATCAGTCAAGTGGATAGTATACCAATGTAAATAACATGCTGTTAGGTTAAGACAGTTGATTGACTTGGGAAGCTAGCAAAGTAGCACATTCTTTCACATATTTAATAACATATGAGACTTGTATTTTGATTCTGTAATAACTATATTGGTATTGTTACCAAAATCAGTACCATATAATTGGAATTGACCAATTTCTGCTAATATTAAAGTTTTTGGTGTATACTTTTACATTTGTGAATTGTATACTTTTAGGAAAATCCTGGGCATTCTTATTTTGTACATGTTGATAAGTTATTTTGTGCATATATTAAGGATATACAATAAAAATTATTTATTTAACTTAGTCTGTACCCATCATTATTCAACTTCCCTTTTTATGACACGTTGACTATTTGAAAACCCAAATAATTTGTCTTGTTACTATTGCTTTTATACTCTTTAGTAAAACACTAGTTTTCCAGCTATTGCCGTGTCTGAAGGGGATACTATATATATATATATGTATATGTATATGTATATGTATATGTATACACACATATATATACACACATATATATATACACATACATACATACATACATACATACATATATATATATATAGTTAAACTGTGAGGAAAGTATGAAGAGGAAAAGTAAAATACCCTAATGATAACCTACCTGGGGTTCATTATTCAGGATCCAAGGGATTTTATTGCATTTTACATGCATGATGTTTTAGAGATTCGTGTCTTTGCTGGTTTTCCTCTCACACTAAGAACACTCTGCTGATATCTGTGTGGTACGGCTTTGTCCTTTTAAAAGTAAAATCCTGAAATGACTTGTAAGTGGTTGGAAGTTTCATGCTCTTCCTTTGGAAATTCAAATTAATAATTTAAATACAAGTACAATATGGTTGTTAATTTCAACGAATGAAAATAGAAGATGAATTGCTATAGCATATACACTTAAATGGAAAATATATATTTAAATCGTTTCAATGGAATCAGGTTTATATGACAACATAATTTTTTATTATTAGCTCTTGATGATTCGAGGAAAGGATTTAATCATAAGTGCTCTCCAAGTTTTCTTCTTTTTAGGGGAAAGATGTAGTAGTTTCTGGGCTGTTTTTTGGCTACAAATATAAATGATGTTTCTGAAAATTATGTAAAGCTTTAAAAAATTTTGAGTTCAATTCTGTGAATACTGTGTTCACCACGGAAGCATTTGGTAATATACACTGATTTGTTTTAAATAAATAGTTAGAAATCTACACCGAAAAGATCAAGAGTACTCTCAGGCTGCCTTCAACTACCATTAAGCAAACTTATTTTTAGACCATTTCTCCTTCATTCATTGTATATAGGGTCTGGGGTTGCAAATAGATTTTAATGATTTCATAAGGTAAAACTGCTCCAGGGAAAATCTGTATGTCAAGGAGAAGAACCAGTGAATCTGAAATATTTCCTGCATAGGTCCTTGTTGAAAAGATTCCTGAAAAGCTGGAATCCATTTTCCTGACTTGGTAAGGCATTTTTTAAATTTAGTTTAGATGGTTTACACCTTTTGAAGAGATTCTCTGTCATCCTTCTAAATATCAGTGAGCAATGTCACTTTCAGAACTGTACAAATACTCTCCAGGTTTTTTTGTCTGTCTAAACTAAATCTTTGTTCTTTTAAAACTTCACTGCTTTTCCTTACTCCTACTCTCTTTCCTCCCACCCTTTAGTCTGGATAACCAGAGGTTATATATATGTAAAAATTAACATTTTAGTTCTCATATAATGTATAAAATTGGTGAATTCTGTATTTAGAATAAAAATATTTTTTATTCACTTGATTACGTAAAGTGTTGGCATGAATAAAATGAGAATTTCCTATAAATCAAGGATTGCTGACTGATTAAACTATGCCAAGGGTAAAAGTCAAGTCTTTCAATAAAGGTGACTTAGATTAGGAAAAGGGAAAGACTCACATTATAGTTGTTGACTTTATCTTCAAATTGATTATTGAGTTGTTTTATTTTTGGTTATGGACAATGCAGATCCAAAAACCTAGCCTAAAAAAATCCACATGCATTATTAAAAGTGGTAGTAATAAAATACATGTTTGTGGTGGGGAGGAGTCCCACAAGCCCTCAAGATTGACATAACCTTTAACAAAGTGGAGAAACTTCTGTTAGAACTACTGAGTCTAGGTTCAAACTTATGTCAAAGCACTTTATGGTACCAAAATTAGTACAACTAATTTTTTTGAGTACAAAATGTCATTTTTCACTAAATGTTTGAGAGTTATTATTTGAGGCAAGGATTTGTACAAGTTTAGGAAATCTGGGTTTGGCAAAGTCCCTTTTTCCTAATTAGGGTTATCTCTTTCACGTGCTTCTTAGAATCATTTATTCCATAGCATGTATTCGAAGTTCTACCTAGTAATTTTTAAAATTCAAAAATAATCTCCCTGTTTAGTTACAAGATTCTTAAGATAGTAAAATACTTTGGAATTTGAGTAACATTTTTTTCTTAGGTGAAGTACTTCAGAGCATTTGCCTACTCCTCACACCATTCTTCTGAAGTGATATGGAAATCAGTCGTTACCCTCCTTAAAGTGGGAAAACTGAAGCTCTAAAGATAAGCCCCTGGCCCAAGGTCACGGAGTAATAACCAAGGTGAAAACTCTGGATATTCCAATTGCTGTTCCAGTGGACTTCTATTATTCATATTAACTTAAATAAAATATGGCATTTAAAATTTTATGATGTCATAATGCTGAGTTTCTACTGAATAGGGCTGTATAATGTTGAATTTTTAAAGAAAAATTACAAACCCAGGTTTAAGTAGCAAAGGGATTGAGTACTAAAGATTTTTAAAGATCAATGATGACAGTACTTGGAAATAAATTGACTTACTAATGCTGTCATGTTGTCCTAGACAGCACTGATTAGAAAAAGTGTAGAAAAAGTGCTCTAAAGACCCAGAACAGTAATGGACCATTGGCTCTAAGCTACACCACAGTAAAAGTCATACATATGCTACTGTATTGTACGTTACACACACTGAAAAGGTAACAGGAATTTTCAGTTATGTATTTTAGAAAATTGTTTTTTGTTTTTTAATGTTTATCTGAATATAAGACCTATAAAACAGGACAAAGAAGCGTTGAGCACTGAGTCTTTTCATACCCATTATCCAAAAGTCAGGCTTTTTTTCCCTCCTGTTCATGATGGTTATTAACACAGCACTGGCTGTTCAGACGGTGCCGATCCTGTGATGAGGCACTTGCAGAGTTTGAAGGTTAGGGCATGTGAAATACGGAGCTGGAAGGAAGCATGCTGCTATTCCATTGGAAGCAAAGGGGAGTGTAGGCCCATAGAATACTTCTTCCTTGCCTTCTCTACTTACATCCAGTACCTACAAAGGAGGAGAAGAAGCCTGCATGTCAGAGATGATTACTTAAAATAGAGCTGTCTACACATAAAAGGGAGCCTGCAGTTAAATTCAGTTATGCCACCATGACCCTACCTTAGCCCTTGTTATTTTTCTCACATTATAATACCAAATACATGTATTAAGTCCCTGCTAAGTGTTACTCTGTATGTTTATACACATGTATGTATACATATATACATAGGTATATATTTACAATAATTCAGTCTTCAGAACAGTCATGAGGTAGGTAGCATTACCCTTCTGTAATAAAACTACCTTAGACTGATGAAATAACTTGTCCAAACTAGTTAGTAGGTGGTGTCATGTGTTGGCTTACAAATGTTGGGTTGAAAAATGAAGACAACACAGGACTTCCAGCATTGTCCTGAAAATTGGTGACATCTGGCTCAGTGTCTACCACACAGAATATTATATAGGACAGCTTAGTAGCAAATTCATAATCAGTTCCACTGGTTCTGGAAATTTCCTCCAATTATTTCCCCTTCAAGATAAAATAACAGTCGAGGTCATCTTCCAGACAGCATTTTTTCTGGTTCCACGGGACAACAGAGACTGCATATGTTAAGCAGATGTAATGTATTTAATCTGTGAGAAGGGAAAAGGAAGCATTGGCGGGTTTTCTCCAAAACACTCTCCTGTAAACTGGCAGAGAGAGAGCGTTGGGGAGGAGGTGCCAGCTTGACAACATATCCTCCAGCCAAAAAAAAGTAATGGTAAATGAAGAGCAGTGGAGGTGATCTGGAAACAGACTAATCACGCGTGCACTCAGGCAGCTGCTCCCAGCGTGCTGCTCAGCTCTGGCGCACCAGGTCAGTCAACCTGGGTGCCAGGCGTTTGCCCACACACCCACTGCATTCACAAGGGCTCCTCCTTTCCCACAGGAATCCTTTTAATATTTGCCATGAGTCTTTATTACTAACAAGTCCAAATCTCAATCTTGAAAAAAGTACTAATTTAAAAGCAAGCTTTTCTGTTGTTTGGGCTGCCCTATGCCAAGTCAAGGAGTAGAAGGAAATAAAATAGTAGCTTTCTCACCATCTGACATGCTTCATCCCTGTGTGGCTGAATCCTACAGATGACATTTTAAGCTTTAATTACAGAATGGTCAATCTAATGAGACAGTTTATTGACTGGTATTTTCAATTGCAAAACACACACACACGACTTCAGTTCTAGATGTTACAGACTGATCTAACTATTTAAGTGTGACCTTCATTAATCTTAGCCATCATGCTCTTAGAATCCAAGGGTTACGTAGATTTGTGATTTATGAAAAATTTGAACGATGATGTTTTTTAGATGTAGACTTCCTCCACCACTTTCCTGTACTTTTCAACCTGCTGACCTTGTACCTAGGAATTTCTAATGTCTAGTCACCATTTTCTCAGAAACACTATTCCAGTTTTCCATTATCTTTCTTCTCTGTTGGATATTCTTCCAGCAAGTAGTAAAGAAATGGCTTCCTTTTGAACATGTGGCTAGTCTCTCCAACCATCAATCCATTACTGTTAGTGAACAGAAATAAGCAGTTCCATAGTCACCCATAGAATAAGTATTTGAGATTGTGTAACCATAGTTCAGAATGAATGATTATATACCCTGTAACCAGTTGTCAATGACTAAAATGATATATGATGAGTCTTATCCATGAAGACTTCCATTCCAAACATCTCTCTCTAAGTGACAATCTGAATACTTATATGAACATTTATTATATATAAACAGTAAAGACTCACAAAAGCTATTATCAAATTTACCTGTGCTTTGTAGGACTGGTGTACCAGCCAAGAGAATAAACATTGCATTTGTAAAACGAATGACTTTGTATATCAAAATGGCTAATGGAACACAGATCTCGTCAGAACGCTGACTTTTTATAAAAGCAAATATCTGATCACAAGAGGTGAAATTTATTCTATTAATACAGATATTAAGACACTTGTGAATCACCTCTTTTACAATCAGCTTAATTCTGAGGCTACTCTAGAATATCCTTAGTGGTTTAAAGTATACACACGTACTCCATCTTCTGAGGACAAAGGATTTGTTTAGGAACAGCCAAAAGTCATTGTAGAGCACTACCTGTTTCTGGTTCAGAGTTTTATATTCTGAAAAGTAAAAATTAAGAAATCCAAAACACAGTGAACACTGACAAATAGATGTTTGGATGAGAGACTAGAAGTACTCCCTATGGGAAAACAGTTTGCTTGTTTGTTTTTATATAACCAAGCTCTGGTACAAAGCAGCCTTCAACTAACTAAAGACTTTAATGTTTTCAAAGAACTTGTGTCTTTGAGATTTTTTCTATTCTATTACTGATTTATAGTTTATTAGCTTCTTATTTTTATTCGCTCTCCCCTATTTTGAGTTTATTTTTTGGTTTACTTTCTAACTTAAGCTATCCCACAAGCTTTGCTATGTATTGTTTCCATTATCACTAAGTTTGTGGTATTTTTTAAACCTCCACTATGAGTTCTATAAGGTATTTATGAGTTCTATGAGTTCTAACTATAAGTTATTTAGCACCGTGTTTTATTATTTCCAAATATACAGGGGTATATTTAACTTTTTAAGTTCTAATGTCACTGTACCACAGAGATCACAGTTTACATAATACTTTTTATTAATATATTAAAGTTTTCCTAATGCTAGTCCTTGATAGGTTTTTGTGGATATTTCATGATATGCTTAAGAAAAATATATCCTGGAACTTCTCCAGGGTAGATTATATGTTAGGCCACAAAATAAGTCTTAAATTTTAGAAGGTTGCAATCATATTAAGCATCTTTTCAAACCACATTGGTATAAAGCTAAAAATCAGCTACAAGAAGAAAATGGGAAAATTCACAAATATGTAGCGATCAAGCAACATGCTACTTAGAAAACCAACGGGTCAAAGAAGAAATAAAAAAATATCTTGAGACAAATGAAGATGGAAATACAACATATCAAAACTTACAGGATGCAGCAAAAGAAATTCTCAGAGGGAAGATCATGGTAATAAATGCCTAAAGAAAAAGAAAGAGCTCAAAAACAAAGTCCTATCTTTACAACTCAAGGAACTAGAAGAACAAACTAAGATCAAAGTTAGAGAAAGGTAGAAAATAACAGAGTGGAAATAAATGAATTAGAGACTAAAGAGATAATAGCAAATGTTAATGAAACTAAGGGCTGATTTTTTGACAAGATAGACCAAATAGACAAACCTGTAACTAGACTTACCAAGGAAAAAGACAAGAGTACTAAAAAAAAAAATTAGGAGACATTACAATTTACACACTAACAAATTTGAGAACCTAGAAGAAATCCATAAATTCCTAGAAACATACAACCTAACAAGACTGAATCATTATGAAACAGAAAATATGAAAAGACCTAGTAAATTACTAGTAAAGAGACTGAATTAGTAATCTTCTCCCAGAAAGAAGAGTCCAGGACCAGATGGCTGTGCTGGTGAATTCTATCAAATATTTAAAGAATTAATACCAATCCTTCTCAAACTCTTCCAAAGAACTGAAGAGTAGGACAAACTTCCAAACGCATTTTACAAGGCCACTATTACTCATATCAAAACCAGGCAAGGGCACTACAAAGTAAGAAAGTGACAGACCAATGTCCCTGATGACTATAGATGCAAAAATTTGACAAAATATTAGTATACCAAATTCAACAATACATTTAAAAGATCATACATCATGATCAAGTGCGATTTATTCCAGGGATGAAGGGATGGTTCAACATACGTAAATCAACCAATGTGATACACCGTATTAACAAAATGAAGGTTAAAAATCATATGATCATCACTGATGCAGAAAAAGTATTTGACAAATTCAATATCCATTCATGATAAAAACTCTCAACAAACTGGGTATGTACCTCAACATAATAAAACCTATATGTGACAAGTCCACAGCTAACAACATACCTCTAAAATGAGGAACAAGACCAGTATAACCACTCTTGTCACTTTAATTCAAGATAGTACTGTAAATAGCCAGAGCAATTAGGCAAGAAAAAGAAAATGCATTAGATCAGAAAGAAAGAAGTAAAAACTATCTACAGATGACATAATATATATAGAAAATCCTAAGACTCCACCAAAAAACTGTTAGAGTTAATTCAGTAAAGCTGCAAGATACAAAATCAATATACAAAAATCTGTTGCATTCCTGGACACTAACACCAAACTATCAGAGAAATTAAGAGAAAAATCCCATTTACAAGTTCATTAAAAACAATAATGTACCTAGGAATTTAACCAAGGAAATGAAATAACTATATACTGAAAACTGTAAGATATTGATGAAAGAAAACAAAGTTACAAATAAATGGAATAATCTGTGCTCATGTATTAGAAGAATTAATGCTACTAAAAGCAGTGAAATCTAATGAACAAGCAAAATAGAGACAGACTCATAAATAGAAAGCAGGCTGACAGCTGTCAGGGGTGGGTTGGGGGGCTGCGTGGTGAGGGGGCTGAGAAAAAAAAAAATCATGGACATGGACAACATTGTGATGGGGGGCGTGGGTAGGGTGAGGTGGAGGGTATAGGGGAGATAAATGGTGATGGAGACTTGACTTGGGGTAGGGAACACACAACAGTGAACAGATGATGTGTTGTAGAATTGTGCACCTGAAACCTAGTTAATTTTGTTAACCAGTGTCACCCCAATACATTCAATAAAAAGGAAAAAAAAAGAACAATCTTTTGGAAATTTCATAAGGTATGGGGGTGGGGGGAATAAAAGCAATGCAATCACTAACTATTCCAATGGCATTTTTCACAGAAAAAAAATCCTAAAATTCATTTGGAACAACCCCCCCTCCCCCCAAATAGCCAAAGCAATCTTGAGAAAGCAAAACAGCTGGAGGCATGACACATTCTGATTTCAAACTATATTACAAAGCTATAATAAGCAAAGCAGTATGGTTTTGGCATTAAAACAGACACATCAATGGAACAGAATAGAGAGCCCAGAAAAACACCGTTGCACGTATAGTCAACAATTTTTGACAAAGGAGCCAAGAACATACAAAGGGGGAAAGGCTAGTCTCTTCAATAAGCGGTGTTGGGAAAACTGGACCCCAATTTTACACCATACACAACAATCAACTCAAAATGGATTAAAGACTTGAACATATGACCTGAAACCATAAAACCAGAAGAAAACATAGAGGTAAACTCCTTGCCATTGGTCTTGGCAGTGATTTATTTTGCATCTGACACCAAAAGCAAAGACAGCAAAAGCAGAAATAAACTTCTTAGTTTAGTTTATCAAACTAAAAACCTTATGCACAGCAAAGGAAAGCATCAAAAAAAAGAAAAAAGAAAACGCAGCCTACCAAATGGGAGAAAATATTTGCAAATCATATATCTGATAAGGGTTAATTTCCAAAACATATAAAGAATTCCTACGACTCAATTGCAAAACCCCCAAACAATCTATCTATGTACCCTGCCCATCTTCCAAGGTTTATCACAACCAACATGTGAAGTCCTTCATGGGGCCTTGTGTAAAATAGGAAAACAACTATAATACAAACTGTAAAAAATAAATAATAATAATACCTTGAATGTGTATATCAACAAAAGCTATTGCTATTCAGAATGGCCCAGCTGGCAACCTGCCCAGCCTGGGCTGCTCACATGCTGATGTGTCAGCACTATTCTTTGGGGCAGAGGTTGTCCCCATCAGGCCAGTCATAACCCCTACTGCTCACTTCTGCCAGGAAGGAAGCAAACCTTTGTAGGTTGCATTTATAGAAATGAACAAATTACAATATAGAAAATAAGGAAATAGAATAAAAAGAAATTTTTAAAGTTTGGGGGGGGTAGTGTTACAGTACTATTTCTAAAGATTTCTAGATTTTCAAAGTTTATCTCCATTTTTAATAGGGCTGTTTCTTAAGTATCATTTTTGGGATGCGGGTTTAGGTTTAGTGGCTGAACTAGCTGCACAACGGGAGCTCAAGCCTCTTTCTACGTGTAAATATCTCTTCCTTCAGTAGCAGCCCTGCAAAAAGCAACCTCACTGAACGGCTTGAGCAAACTTCAAAGGGAGCTTCAACCACTCACCTGGATACAAGCCAGAGGCTCATTTGTCCAAATCGAATATCCACCGACTAAATATATTCTGTCATTATGGACAGCAACTCCAGATTCATTTTGGCCTAAAGTAAAGAGAATTGAATGAAAAGAAAAGATAAATCCATTTCCTTGCATGTTTTAATTAACCCTTCTGCCACTGAGGGATACAGTTTCCCCTGCGGCAGACTTGTATACTCCACAGGATTTCTGCAGCAACTAATCTCCGCCTCCCAGTACCCGGAGGAATTAAGCACCACTTCTCAGAGAATGAATCTGTGTCGGATCAGAACCAGGCCGTAACACTTATTGGCTAACGGAGTTAGTAAATACAGCGTGAAATACAATAATAAGCCATTTAGAACTAAGTTTTATAACTGTTATATGCCATAAATTTACAGCGGTGGAAATAAGGTATATTTTAGAAATGCAAAACACCTCTTGTCCTACAAATGCTTTTGAGGCACGTGCTTACATTTATAAAGTAACAGCTGCAACCCCAAGAAACCAATAAAACAGAGCCATGCCCCTAGCGTGCCCCAAATGAAGACAAATGACAAAAAAGATAAAGTTACTACCCTCCCTTTCTTTACATACACAACAGTTTTAAGACTATATTAAAGTTCCTGAGCTGAGACCAGCCTGGAAAGTCCCTAGATACTGACACGCCAAAATGATGAAAGGTCCCTTCCCCATTTAAAAAAGAAGACAGAATAACTCACTACCACATAGTCTTCCCTGGAGGCCATCAAAGAGTGAGATCGTCTCTTTTTATTGATGGGCTGACATAGGATTGACTCGGGTAATAAATAAGCTGGGTCCTAGAGCAGACAGAAGCACAGATCCAGGGACCGAGGGGCTCAGGCACCACTAAAGCAACTTAGAGTTAAGTACGTGTAGGCAGGACTCCAAAGTCGTTTTTGCAGAAAACAGCAAAAACAGCTCAACACAAAACACCTGAACCTCCCCCACTGGTCCCGGCCTCGGTGGCGCCTCCCAGCAGCAGCAGAGGGTGACTGAGCGCCCCCTCGACGTTAAACCGTCGCCAGGCTCTAGCCCACCCACCATTTTGCGCCTGTGATTTTCCTATTAGCCGGGCAGCCTGGAAGGGGCCTAGTCACCTGTGGATATTAATAACTTAGCACGCTGACAAGGGAGAAATCGTTTCCAACTCCACCAAGAAACACAGGAGTGAGCTGCCCACTGCTTTCCTTCCCTTCCTTTTGGGTTAAGGATGGTCCATACCCAGCGCTGCCCTGGGGGAAAGCCGGATGGGTGCCGGTGGCAGAAATGCCACCAACCCCCTAGGCACAGAACTGTTGGGAGAAAACAGCCAGAAACAACACGCAGCAATGACAGCGAAGACCATTCGGAGTTCACAAGAAATAACTAAAAGTAATGAGAAGTAAAAAAGGAATCGCTTCTGCGAAGAGTCATTAACCCTTCCAGCACCCGGCCCCCCCTCTGGATCAGAGCCCCCACGCTGACTGACGGACTGGACATGCCTCAGCCACACGAGGACACGCACAAAGGTCAGACAGGCCCCGAGAAACTAGGTGCTCAGCCACCCGATCAAGTGAAGTTTTGTGAGAAACAATGTGCACCTTTGGAGTTAACAGAAACCAGTTGCTCCGTCACGGTGCACTTATCTTTAGCGGGGCGGCAGCCTGAATCTCTGCTGCCTCTGATCCGCCTAACGAAAGGTACTTGCCGGTCAACAGGGTGAAGCTGCAGCGCGTCCACTGGTCGGAGTCCATGCTGTAGGAGTCTATGTGCCGCACCAGGACGCGGTCGTTGTTGTAGTCCAGGTCGTTGCCGCCCAGCACGTAGAGCTTCCTGCGCACGGCAGCCATGGAGTGGTAGACCCTCCTCTGCAGCATGGGGCTGCGGCTGATCCACTTATTCTGGGGAAAGAAATCCAGGTGAAGTCTGTCAACAGGAGGCCTTCGTGGCAGCAGGCAGCTGTGCCTCGTTCGTAGCGGGGACCCTAATGTTCGTCCGTCCCCTTCTGTCTGAACGTTGTTTACATACTTTGAAAGGTGTGGGCTTCCTACCTGAGAACAAGGGCAGAATCACCTACATATTCCAACTCTGTTTTTCAACTTACATAAGGCGTGTCCTCCTGTGTGGGTTACATTTTATACGGCATTTTGCATTTGTAAGGGGAGCATATGAAAATATCGGAATTGAGAGAACTTCCTCATGCAAATTCCTGAAAAGTGCAGGGCGAGGTACACTGTCGGTGGTGTGATGACTGAGAAACAGCTCTGGGTCTCGAATGCCTGAGTTTCTCACCTGCGTGTAACCTTGAGCAATCGACGTAACCTCCCTGTGCCTGTTTCTCATCTGCAAAATGGGGATAATAATACCCACCTGACAAGCCTGCTGTGAAGGTGAAAGGAGCTAATACACATAAATAATCTAGAACAATGTCTCACACATAATAAATGTCCAATAAATAGACACTTTAAAAAAGTATCGTGATAATCACTGGCTACCCCAGGCCCCTACATAAGCTGGGGTGAGGATGGCCTGGCTGTTCTTTCTAAGATTGGCCTCTTGAGATCAATGAAAGAGCTAAGATTAGGTTCAGCAACAAACTCCTTCATTGTATCAGCCTCCTTTAATGTATTTACAATCACATTTTCTGTCAAACTGAGGAAAGTTCTTTCGAGGCATACATTTGCTTTGGTAGGAGGCCAAGTTTTACATGCTAACTTTAGGGAATATTTGGTTCTGGGTTACTCTCAATAATGAGAAAGGTATGCTCAGCCCCTCGTACCGTAAGGCTCCTATTTAAAATTAATGTAAAATTAGATACAAATAAAATATGTTGTTAATTTTAAATCTCAACTGAGTAAGGAACAGGTAAGTAAACCTAACAGTTTTCTTTCTAAATAAACACAAAATATCCAGGAACAACCCAGATTCCTTTTTGCCAAGAAAAATTTGGATTTCGACCAGAAAGAAATCATACGATGTTTTGAATACATAGAATTTCACCAGCTCACAAAGCTGTAAAGGAAGAAGAAGAAAAAATGTTTTGTATAAATATTGATCCGTTGACGAAAGCATATCTATTAACTCATTTCTAATTTCTCTTTTAAAGATACGCAAAAAAAGAAAAAGAAAGTGGTTTGTACAACTTAAAAGGCTTGCATTTATCTGTTTCTCTTTTTTAAACATGTCATAATAAGAATCTCTTTCCAATTAAATGTCTTCTTTAATAAAATAGTCAAACCTTTCTTTCAGGTATTCCGCTAAGAAATATCTTTAATACATTACACATGAGTGGATTTAACTCAAAACTCTGATGATGCTTTCCTTAGGATGCCTCCTTCGAGGCAACCCGTGACAGCATTAGGAATCAGTGTTTGCATGAGCAGCCCATTCCCCTGCCATAGGACTATGGACTCCATCTGCTTTGCAAAGCCTGCCTGCATCCCCTGATTATAGCCTCAGCTTCCTTCACTGCCGTGCCTGCCAGGTGAGCCGACAACCGCAGCAAAGGCAAAGAAGCAGAGAGGCCTGGTGGGGTCATTCCTAATAAGCTAGCATGTGAATACTAATCAGTGGTGGGGAAGCAGAGGTCACCCCAGCCTGCCTGCTGGCAGGTAGCAATGTGCTCTGTGGCAGATGGCAGGCATTATCGACGCTCCACAAAGGCCTAGAAGAGAAATAAGCACCGGGGCTGAATGATAGAGTTATTGAGATTCCGAGCAAGATGCAAGCAGATGTGATGTTTGCCAGTACCCACCGTAAACAATATGCCAGCGGAATTTTTAAAAAGAGCATGTGTGTACAAACAGGAAACAGAAGTCATTTGAGAAATGTTAACACCTTCTTCCTCTTTAACCATGTGTGCACTGAACTCAAGCCACTGCAATTAATGATCCCTCCTGAGACGTCTGGCCCATGGACATGTGGTCTCTGAAATCTACAGCTTCTAATGACATCAGGAAACACACTTGCAGAGACAGAAATCCCTTCATTAAATTCAGAATTAAGTAATTGTTAAAATAAAAAGATTCCACATAGACTGAGGTCACTTTGGACACGCATTCGACGGCTAATACCAAACCAGACAGCTAATGCCAACCTGTTGTTTCATGTTCCATTATCTTCAGCTGAGGGACATTAAATCCCCAGATTAAATCATTTGGAATATTGTCATAATCATGAAAAACACTTACATTGCCTAAATCATAGAAATAGCAAATTTCAGCAAACTATTTGCTAAAGTCACAGATATTTTGGTAGAAGAAAAAAGAATAAAAACAGTTCTTTTGGGGAGAAAAGACGTTATGTGTGCATGAGAAGTGGACAGAGGGAGGGACAGGCACCATCGAAATGCTTCCAGTTCAGGGCCCAGCTGTTAGATGAGAAACCACCTCTTCAGATACTTCTACTTGGGACTTGTCCTAGACACTGTTCTAGGACATTTGGGCTATACTGAGTTAAATAAAAGTTATTATTTTATTTTGGAATAATGAAACCATACGCATGGCCCCACCCCCAAATGACATGCCTTCTAAAAGGACATAGCCACAGGACACTTCAAATCCTTTCTTTGGATGCCTCCGAATATGAACAGCTACTTGATATAATGGAAATAGAAGGTATTTAACTTATCAGCATATCTTCTTTTTTTCTATATTGTGCAAAACTCTGAAAGAGTTAAGCATTTTGTATAGCATAAAACTCAAAGAGCTGAAATTTTATGAGAGAGAAAAAAAAGCGAGCAAAATGCAGCTTATCCAGATGCTTCCTTTTTTCTATACAGGTTTAAGATGCATGTGTGTGCATATAGACCTGGCATTGCAACTACTAATTACTGTGGAAATCTTCTGAAATTCATTTTAATTAAGGTAATGAGCTCTTCTTATAGGAGTCTTACCTGGTTAGGTTCATATACCATTAGTCTGTTCTGATACTGTGCCGTGTTAGTTACTCCACCTGTAATGGATTAACATGTGTTAGAGCTTCCATGAGTGAGAACAGGCTATTCCAACCTAAGAATGAGATACACTTAAGAAAAATTAGCTGCTGCTGCGTATCTGTTTGTATACCCTTGTGGTGAACCCATGACATAATTAAGAAGCTTATTGTTGAAGCAGTTTCATTTTCAAGAAACATTTCAGAAGCAATCCAGTTGAGAGCAAGCAACAAGTATGCTGAGATCAGCAAGAGGCCCCCAATCCTGGAAGGCTGCTCTGCGTGGCCAGAATGCGGGGAGATGGATGGGAGGGCGTGGGAGTGAACTCAGCACAGACAGACCTCTGCAATTTATGCCAGGAACATGGTTATAGGGAAAATTCTTGCCTTTCGCTAAATTAACAATTTTACAGTTCTAACTTTCCATATACTAACACAGTGTGAGATCTCTTTCGAAAAAGCATATCTAAGAAAATATGTTACTTATTGAAAGAAATCTAGAGCCAGTGCTATCCAACAGAACACAAGAACCACAAATGCGAGTCACATATGCAGTTTTAATTTTTCTAGTAGTCACATTAAAAGTAAAAACAAACAGTGAAATGAAACCAAATATAAATTTCATTTCACTCAAAAATAGCCAAAATATTATCTTTTCAATATGAAATTAATGTAAAAAATATTGAGATATTTTATATATATTTTTTCATACTAAGTCTTCAAAATCCAGTGTGTATCTGACACAGCGTATCTCAGCCCAGGTTAGCCATGTTTCAAGCACTCAGCGAGCTACATGCAGCTAATGACTGCCATACTGGGCAGCACAGTTCTAGAGTCCAGGAGCTGCTGACCTCAACGTCTTTGAAGCCCTCCCTCTTGACAACCACTTAGATCCCAAAGACTTGAGACCTTCTGCTTAATCAAGAGCCACTAAAAAATCATTACACATTTAGCTAAGTTTCTCATACTTTTCATGTTTGTGGTATACACTGAGCCCTATAAAACCCAGAAATAATGTATTCTACTTTAATTTTTACCATTAAATGGAAAAAGTAAAAAAAACAATACATAAACAGCAGAGAGAGAAAATAATACGGTATCAAATGTTAGGTAATAACAGAAACATAAGACCCTCCTCAAATTCTATCTTTAGAAATATCGCCTCATACCTAGTACTAGATACTTGTGTAAAATGAATAACATTCTTATTTTAATAAGTATCACAAAGCAGCAGCTACTTTTGCATAGATATCTAAAATTGAGCCAGACTAAAAAGTTTTCTACTGAAATTTTTTAATTTAAAAAATTAGTACCGTTACAATACTGTCCAAGACAGCCTTAACATCCCTCTCACCTTGACTAAGCTTAGGCAGGCTTCCTCCTGCCGCTAGGCCCCTGGCTTCCCTTTTCTTAGAGCATTTACCTTAGAAAACTTCTAATTATAAATTCGTTCCCTGCCTCTTTAAGATGTAAATCATTTAAGAAGCTTCTTGCAAGTTTTAGAACTAGGAATATCTTCCTCAAAGTTCTGGGAGCTATCCCACTGAAACGTCATAATCAGGGAAGGTAATGCCCCATGTATGCAGAGTAGGAGCCCAACTTTGGTGGCTGCCATTCAGCAAACACGCATGGCCTAATCACAGGGAAAAACATTACAAACTCAGGGACAAAGAATGTGCTCAACACATCACACTGATCAACCTCCCTCCAAAAGTCCTTCAGTACTTTTCCACTAGCTCACCCCAGTACTTAAAAACCCTCTTGCCTCTCTTGTTTTTCAGAGGGGTTGATTTCAGGCTGCACTATGGTCTCTCTCCAACAGTGCAAGAGTCTTGAATGAAGGCTTCCTTGTCTATTTTACTTTGTCCACTGTAATTTTTGCTTTGACAGTTCAGATACTTTGAATAGGTTGCCACCATCAACTCCATGGACAGGAGTCAAGTCAACCAGAATCTAGAGGATTCATGCGTAATCCTCAACTGAACTAGAATCGCCAATCAATACTAATGGATACATGAGGAGAGAGAACCTGTCCATGGCAATCATCACTCTCATTCAACTCTAGTAAAGAGATATCTTTCCTATAATTGACCTTGGTGATTATTAACTGGAGGGCTTTTTATTTTTGTAATTCTCTCTGAAGCTTGCAACCACTTTTTAAGCTCAATAAAAAATTTGTCCAAGTTGGAAATCCAAATAACAGAAAGAAATGAGCTTCCTGCCCTCAAAAATAAATCTTCTCTGTGTTTCTCACTGAATGTCTCATTTTAAAAATGAAAAAGAAAACACACCTGAGAAAGCTGAGGCTGAAATGCCTACACGGAGCCAAAATGTATCTCAAAATAAATACAGAGGTACGTTTGCCTTTTCCTCCCAACCTTCCTTTTCTTACCTGATTAAAAATGGAATGTCCAATAATTCTTTCTACACAAGAAAATCAAACCTATGGAGATCTCACAAGTCTTCAGTGTTAAAATGATTGCCAAGTTTTGATCCAGGCCATCACCGCCAGATTAATGTCCAGCTCACCTATAATCATTTCTCCAAATGAGGGGGAACAGAGGTGAAGCTTCCACCCACTATTTCCAAACTCTGATGGTTTATCTACTTGTTTTAGAAATATGGGACAGAATTAGTATCGACTGCAGTAAACTATCTGTTTATGACACTATTTGAAAATATTTACACTACTATATGTACCCGACTCTGCCCATTATAGATTAAATGCACCACCAATGGATTAGAATGTAGCTATTACACCCTCTCTCCCAAGCAGGGCACACAGTTTATCTTTACACTCTTCAGAATTATTATTTACTGTCTCCCACAGCTGCATCAGCTGCATTGAAATGCAGTGGGTTTTTTCCTGAATCTGCACTCAGTAATTAGATTCCTTACCGTCACATACACATTTTCACTCACATGACAATGTTTAGAATGGGGATATTGGGTTACTAAGTTGGGAGTAAAAACAGAAGTCCTAGTTAGTTATTTGGTTGATTACTTCTAGAATGCTAAGCCACAGGAGGTGCCTAAAAATGAGTGCTGTAACTTTGCCAAGTCAGGATTGCAAGGGAAAAACCTTAGAAATTGGTTTTATTGCATTTCCCCTTTGAAATAATTTATAAATGAGCATATAAATAAAAACAATTTCTTCTCAGTACAAAAAAATAAAATTTTAAAAAAGCATCCAAGTTTTCCATCCACATGTCTCTGGAAGTGTTACTCATTGGCAGAGCTCTGTCATTACATTCCCTTCACATAACACTCCTCGCTTTGAGATTCATCTGCTGAAATGAGATGCTAAGGATTTGCATACAGATTTGACTATACAAAAATAGATATGGAATTAATAACAGTCGCTATATGTTTTAATTTCTCCCAGACTGGAGTACCCTTGCCTGCAGCAGTATTCCTGGCTTTGAAAGTCATCAAGCTGATTTGTCTGCTCTGGGTTACGACGCCACATGCTGCTCTACTGTCCCCTGCAATCAAAGCCTTGCAAAGATAGATTCCATGCCATCGAGTATATTTTATAGATTGGCAGTTTTGATCTCTCTCCCCCACCCCAGGGGGGAATAATCTGCATCTTAACAGCTTTCTATAGATACATCTGTCATTAAATATGCCATTTCGTATCAGCATCCATTTTTAAAGCCAAGTTTTCCCTAACTTTGAAGTGCCACAGTCAAAGTTAAGACTTTCAGCCAAAATTGAAAATGAACAACCCTGTCTTATACTCTTGCACTGTGACTTAAAGATATACGGCAGGTTCCCCCAAAGTCAAATAAGTCTTTAAAAACTGCCAGAAGGAATGAAAAGTTACCACCATGCTACCAGCAGTGAGCAATGCTTTCTATCATTGAGACAAGACTAAAGCATTTTTCTTAAGCTTCCCTGTTCACCTCCCCACAAAGTGTTGTGACAAATGGATGAATGCATACCAGCGAGAGGATGACAGGTGACTGCCAAACAAGCAATCCTTGTCTGCACTACTGAGAATTCAGACTCCCAAAAACTCACTCTGTTCAAGAGCAACAACTGGTCAATGCTGATGGTGTCTATAAAATAGTGTGTTTAGAAAAAGCAACCTTCAGTATATGTTGATCAGGGTAGGTCAAGTCTGGGAGCTCTGCTAATTTTTTTTCAAGGAGAGAAAATGCCTCTGTTGACACAGTCCTGCATTAGTACAGCACTAGTACCCTTACTAGGACGAGCAAGGTGCAAAGAACCGAATGTGCCCATGTCCTTAGGGAACATGCCCCAGGCTGGAATTCTTCTGGCCAGTTCAGGATTGTGGAAAACCATCCCAAGATTTTTGCAAGTCTCTTGGAGGCCTGCAGTGCCCAGCTCACGCTAGTTGAGGGGGAGTTTCTGGATGGGCTGTGGCATCAATAAGCTCCTTTATGACTCTATCTGTGGGGGAACCATTTAACGCAGCCAAACTTAGGTTCCTTATGATCAACACGGAGATGATGGAATCTCTCTCATTGGTTTTAGATGAAGTATAAGGCATGCTATAGAGGCAATCCACAAAGGGAAGTTTACTACAACACTGTACTAGTTTGTTTATGCAAATTTCTTACTATTTCCATAAAAGGCACAAATGAGTATGTATGGGATATTGAAAAAACAACAAAGTATGGAATACTGAATTAATAATGAAGGAATTCTGTAGTCTGAAATAGAGTTCTTATAATTCCTTCTAATAACCAGAATTACTGATTGGCTTGTAAGGATATCAAAGGCTTTTTCCTTCTTTAAGAGTTTAAGCATCTCCGTAAACTTGCTCCAGTTCTCAAAAGACTAAAACTTCACACTTACAATCTAATTACCAAAAGAATGACCTGGCATTGGATGTGAGTTAATATCAGTCATTTTTTTTTTATACAAACTCATTATTAGTCCTTGATAAAAGGGACAGCATGGGAATATTTGCAATAAATGCAACAATAAGCTTTTTTGTTATCTATTTTACACATTAGACTGTCCATATTTTTGGAGTGTTTATAATGCTACAT